TGGTTCTAGAAGGAAGCAGCGATGGAGTCCAAAGCAGGTGGTGCAGCTGGTGATGACGAAGTGGTCAAGGAAGCAGTTGGAGGCACAACTTCATGCTTTGGGATAAGCTCTCCGGATGCCTCAATCATCTCGGATGTCACGAATGACAGAAGGGGTCTCCGCGGGTGATGTCGGAGACACCTGAGAGCCAGGAACGGCAACGACAGAAGCGCCCGGCTCCAAAAGTCCAAGTCCAGGAGCTGCTGGGTTCACAAGTCCAGGTAAACCAGCATTGGCTGGTGGTGCTGAAGCAAGGTTCCGAAAGTCCAATTGGAACCGAGTTCATAAATCCAAGGGGGCCTATGTGAGGATCATCAAGGGTGGCTTCAGCTTGGGCGAGATCTTCTGTACGTGCCAGAGATGGTGCATATATGCATATGAGCCAACAGACTGAGCAGGTTGTGCAGGAACTTCAAATTGAGGATCCACCAATCTTGTGCGGCGAGTAGGCGGCTGTTCAATCTCAGAGTCGAGCTCGTCCATGATCTCGTCGCCAGAGCCAACATCATCAATGTTGTTCCGATTCTTGATGGTCAACTCAGCAAAACGAGTGACCCCTCTTGATCGAAGCCTCTGGACCACATCCTTGGCGACTTTCAAATCGCCCAAAAGCGTTGAAGAACTTCTTCCGATCTCAGGCCTGACATGGTGTGGCGCGCAGTGCAACAGCTGTGACTTGTAGCCCAGCCAGTAGATAGCTGGTTTTCCATCAGGACCATCTTCTCGCATGATCACAGTGGCAGGCCACTTCCATCGGATCTTGATGAGGTCCGGGGCTTGAGCATCTCTCCAAAAGAAACTCTTTGACCTGGATGAAGAACGGTGTTGGTGCCCGCGTGCTTTCTGAGCAGGGCACGACGTAGCTTCTGATCCATCTCGGCCTGAACAATGGCCATTTTTGCAACAGCGCGCTTGGAGAGCTCATCCTCAAACGGTGTGTCCAAATGCACTGGTGTCAAGTTAGTTCCCAGAAGTTCGCCAGGAAAATTAGGTGATTGTCCCAACACCCACTGGGCTGGTGAGTAGCCAGAAGTTGAAGGTGTGTTATTGGTTTGTGGGACAACATATGCCAGAGCTTGCCGAATGGCATTGGCACCCTCAAGTCCAAAGTCCACCAAGAAAACTTCAACGGCTTTGCGCAACACTGCATGCCATCTTTCCACCAACGCAAGTTGTTCATGAGCTTCTCCAGCAGCCACCAGGTGTTGAATGGACTGTGCATCTGTCCACTCACCAAAGGAGTCATGTAGCCACCCCCTGCACTCCAAAAGGGGCAATCCAATGACGCTCCAGTGCTGTGATGTACTCTTCAGCTTTCTCGGAATTGATTAAGACTGCAACCTGAAAAGGCGTGCCCTCATTAACAACTGACAGGATGGGGAACTTGTTCTGGGCACTCTTGATCCACATAGCATCAGCCTGGATGCTTTGCTTGAATTTACAAATCACCTTGGCGGAGGCTGGTGCAACTTGATTGGGCTTCCGGTATTTGAGGCAAACATGACACTGCAGTGTCACATCCAAGACTGCTGACGCCTCTGGCCTCCAGTATTTCAACAAGGGCTGTCGTGGCTGGACGTCCAAGATTTCGGTGCAGTCGTTGCACTGCACATACTTTGTTCTCGATGAGGAGCTGGATCATCTTTCCATGAATGAGCTTGCCTTCATTCACGGCCAGGGCTCCTTCCCAAAAGACAGAAATCTCTGGGACAGCAAGTGCAGCAGCCATGGTTGCAGCAAGGCATGGCTAGTAATCCTCAAGGAAGCTTGTCCTGGAAAGTCCAAAGCCAGGAACTTGACCTTCAAGTTGACAAAGTTGATGCAATCGGTCACATCGCAGGATCGTGGCCTGCATCACAGCACGCTTGGTGGTTTGCAAAATGGTGGTCATTCGAACCAACTGCCAGGTATGATCTTGATCTTTGCATCGAGCTCCACAGGGGCACTGGTCAAAAGTGACGCCTGGCCTGGCAGGCTGGAAAGCGCAGGGGTGTGCCAACTGCACGCACCTTGTGGTTGTTCCAGATGTGCGTGCTGGCCATGACGCACTTGACGCACAAAAATGGTGCGGCAAAAATGAAGGTGAGTATCATGATGAATTTGTCGTTGACGCTGCAGCTCAAATTATTTCTCAGGTGTGGTTGCGTTGATGTTCATCATCTTACTCCACAAGTCACATCGAGGTGCAAGCCAAACTTCGTCAGGCATGTCGTCATCAAGCTTGGCCAGAAGTTGGGACGTATGAGATTCCAAATCAAAATCCCAACCGTTTTCGTAGCCAAAAGATTCAACCTGACATCCAAGAGATTCAGCGACTTCAGCAAGTCGAGAGGCACCTGCATAGACCTCCCAAATCAAACGGGGTCTGGGCTTGAAGTTCTGGAGCTCCTGAGAAACATGCTTGTGCAGATCGTTCCCTCTGAGGTGGCCAGCGCAACTTCAAAACTCCGCCACAGCTTTGAAACAACCTTTCTATCACCAACAGTTGGAGCAAGTCCACGCTCCTCCGAAGACTGGAAAACGTCCTCCTCCTGTCGGTAGGTCGACAAATTCAAGACCTCCGCAGGGGTGTCATCGGGCTTTTGAGAGTCCACAAGGTTCAGCTCAAAACATTAAGGTGGTTGGCCAATGAGCTCGTGGTCAACATCTTCGGTGAGAGACAAGAGGTACTCACCATGCAAACCCATGGTGATTGGCCCCCGGATGACCTTCAAACATCATAGTACGGCTCTTGAAGTTGACCACAATGCCAAGTTCTTCGATGAATGGCCTGCCCATCAGCATTGGCGTCTCACCTTTGATGATGAACGCTTGCGCATAGCCCATCACACTGTTGACAAAGATGGGGATTGTGGCGATCCAGTGGCTGGTGGTGGAGTGACCGCCGCCAAAGTGAAAGGTTCTTGAACATCGCTGCATCTTGAGAGTGTCCACCGGATAGCCCAAGCCTTGGAGATGTTGAACATATCTGTGAAAAGGCCCAGATCCCATCAAAAATGCGGATGTACCAGGGTCTAACATCGTGCAGTCCACACGCTGACTACCAGATTCATCTTCAAAAATCACAAGACCACGTTCTTCAGGAAGAGTGGTAAGAGTGGTCACAGCCATGCTTTCAGTCGTGTGCTGCCTCTTGGGGCTAGGTGGATTCGATGCAGGAGCAGGGTGTTTCTGCTTAGGGCAGTTGGCAGCTTGGTGACCTGGCGCTCCACAACGCAAACATTGCATGGAGGCAGCTGCACGGCCACGAGGATCAGCAGCTTTCCCAGGCAAACGTGGGTACTTGACCATGCTCTTGCCCTTGCCACCCCTTGCTCTTTGGCTTTCCACCGCCAAATCCCTTGCCACGGCCAATGGGAAGCTGAGGAACAGCATGAGTTGGCGACTGGTCAGCTAAGACAACAACCGGGTAAAAGCCACGAGGCAGCTTCAAATCCTGAAACCTCCGCCTCGCATCAAGGTAGGCCGCAAAGGCTTCATCATAGGCCTCAACGTCATAGTCAGCCCATTCACCTTGACCGGCATCAGAAGCTTCATAGTACGCCGCATCGGCATCGAACTGTGACTCTTCAGCCAGCTTTCATCATAGGTGACGCCATCGTCCATGTCATCGTACTCATAATAGGCATCATAGCCTTCGTCATCGTCACCCTCATCGTATTCATCATCTTCAGCAGCATAGGCACCACGGCGAAACAGCCGTCCAGAACCTGGGGTCGGTCATGAAGACTGACCGCGGCTTTGTGGCCTTGCCCAAGGATCAGGTAGAGGCTCTCTTGGACACGAAGCTTTTCCAGCTTGGGAGCTTGCGTCACAACCCTCTGACGCTGCTCACGGGTCACGTTGGCCTTAAAGCCAACCTGGAACTTCATCTGGAATCTTGATGCCGTGCTCTTCAATCTTCCTCAGTTTCTCATCATGGTTGGTGACGAAGCTAAGAAGAGTTTCGCCTGGCTTTCGAGACAAATGTGAAAAGTATCCATCAAAATCCTGTGGCAGGCGGACACGGGCATCATACTGAAAAGCTTTGTCCAAAGTCTTCATCAAATCATCAAACGCTGAATCACCATCGATCTTGGCCAAACCGCAGTTTTCAACCAAGCGCCATGCTGTTCCTTGAAGTGAACCGATGATATTCAAAATGCTTTCTGCAGACCTTTTCTGAAGCTTCATCTTCAAATGGTAAATCTTGATACGTTTCCGCCATTCTTGATACGATTGGGGTTGCCCATCAAACAGTGCAATGAAAGAATCGTTGGTAATCATTAATCCCACAATCCAAAGCCATGGAGCTTGCAGCTTGAGACGCAGCAGCTGTAGATCCTGGTTTCGCCAAAGGACCAGTATGTTGCTTCGAAGACATCAAATGGCTCGGGCCCAATCACCGTGGAACCTTCAGCTACCTTGATCGACCAAAGTAAGTTGAGGCGTAAGTGGGAATGGAGTGGAGGAGTATGAAGTGAAATTCAAACATGGAGTGGTAGAAGTGGATGTAGCGCAGCGGCAGCGAGCTCAGTCCCAAAGGAGCTGGAGCTCCGCTACCAATGTGATTTGGTAGCAAATGCCAAACCAAGTTCGGAGCAAATGAAGTCTCCTGACAAAGCAGCACTAAGGTACACGAAGTCCTTTGTCATGAGTCGCTTGTTGTTGGCGTTGGTGCCCTCCCACTTGAGAGGAAATTGCGGTCAGCAGAGTGTGGTAAAACTCAAATGCTCAGGGTTGAATGAGTCCATCAAGTCCAACCAACAATACCACATACCCACCACATACCCCCACATACCCCCACCACAGGGCGGGGGAGGGGGGTTTGCGGGCGCTGGTACACACACACACAGATACACACACACAGATATATATATATATAATATTATATTCATATACTATTAATTTTGAATTTATATATTGGTATATCACTACATGTCACTAGAGAGTGACCTTTCACGCGTATTTCAAGAATCACGTCAAATTCCAATTGGTAAACTCATGATGCGGCCGGCCTTCTGCTGTAGCAGGCTCCACCGGGGCTCGGGAGCCCAAATGGGCTTCTGGAAACATTCCTTGGGAAAGTCCTGAGTTCTGTAGCGATAGTCATGTACTCATTCATGGACCATGGAATTCATGCTCCTTCTCAGGCGAATGCAAAAACATGCAGAAGCAAAACAAAACGACCCAAGACATCAGATTGAGCCTCTTGGACCCCTAAAGGCCCTAAAGTTGTCTTCTGCATACATCAGCTAAGCTAAGCCTTTCTTGTGACTGAGGTGTTCACGAAAAGGCCACCACTTGCCTAGGTTTTTGTTGTAGTCACACGTGCAATTTCAATCCCCAAGTAGCTTCACTTGATCACCTTCTGTAGGCTGGATGGCGCTTCTCTGGTAAGTTTGGGGGTTCAGAAACAAGGTAATTAGTAGCATTCAGAAGTCACTGAATCATCACAAAACAATCTGCATTGTCATCTCATCTCCCACCTCGCTCTAGTGACTGGAAAGCATGTCTGCCAGAAATTGAATTCCAAACGAAGCTTCCCCATCTTCCCCATGAATAGCCACAGCTGTTCAACATCTAAGATGTGAACACCACCACTGCTCACCAGTGGGATCACCTCATATGTGGGCGCAATAGGTTTGCTTGTGGAAGAAACGGAATCGATGCTGTGTCAGAGTGTCAGTGTCAGACTTGCAAATTGTTTGGGGCAACAGTCATGCCACAAGGATCAGACAGTAATCATATGTAAAAACTTACAATTAACAACAGTTATCATACGTCATCATGTTTTGTCAAGGCACGCAAGCACCATTGTTCACAGCGATTCTGGCTTCTTTTGCCACACCAGGTCCACCCTGCCAGCGTCTCATAGCGTCTCACCCAAACCCAGGGTGGCACACACAGATCGTGGCAGAACTTTGTGAATCTTTTCACTGGCTAATTGCACTCCATCCAGCGAAGTTCAAGGCTCTTACTACTTATAACGCAACAGCCTGCCCCAAATTCATGGTTTCCCCCCATACACTCAATATAAACAAGTCACAATGGATAATTAGTCAATTTCGGGCACTAAACAAACGAACCTGGAGATTTTGGCAAACCACAGGCCTATACAGTTTATAAATGTTTATAATGTAGAAACAAAAAGCCCCAAGCCTCCACGGTTAGGTAGAGATGGCCGAGCAAACCAAACACCTCCTGCGGCAACTATGGGCCACAAGGATGATGAGCTTAGGACTGTCGTGCTGCGCAAGGAATGCAGGCAGCTGTTGGCCATTCCAGACATAAGATTGCATGAGTTGCATTCAAAACTGGGCTGCATGGACCTGTCTTTGCTCGTGCGTCGCGCCTGCAGAGTCGAGAAAGTAAAATTGCAAATATATGCAAATATGCCGGGAAGAAGCAAGAATTGCCAAATTAATATTAAACAATATTAAACACACACACATATATATATATATATTGATAAACTATAACCCGAATGGAACGTAAATAACGCTCATATTGATAACAACACTCGGCTAAGCAGTCAGGGGGTCCCTGATTCCTACTGTAGTGGCTGTCGCTGCACAATCTCCTCCTTCTTTCATCGGCTTTATAGCGGCTCCCCGTATTTTTTGACTGCGCCCTCCACACGCTCCCCGTATTCTACGTGCCATTTATATCCATTTATCATTTCCTTTACCCCCTGGTGGTCCTTCTCTGAAAGCTGGAAACACCCAAAAAGCAATTCCTGAACACTCTTTGAGAAGTCCAAAGACATCAAACATGAACACGCACTAATCAACGCTCTTTCTCATTATGCCCGGGTTTCCCACTGATCATCACATTTCAAGCGTAATTCTTACTACCAAGGCTGGATCATGTTCATATACAACGGCAAAAGACTTGGTAGTCGCAGCCTGCATGGAGATCTGTTCCATAAGGAAAGTCACTCTTCTTGCCTGATGCCGGTCACACTCCCGAGATGCGTGTTGTGTCATGTTGTGTCCAAACTCATGTTGTGTCTTCTGATCTTTCTGTGGCATGCGGCATGGCTCAACTTCACGGTTTGTGTAATCTTGCAATACAGGTCCGGTCTCCACTTGCGCTTGGATTCCATTTGGGTGTTGATCAAAATAAAGGTATCTGGGGCAGCTACGCCGATCAACCGCAAATCAACCGGGATCCCAACCGTGTCAATCGCGGGAGGGTTCGGTCGTATGCGACACTATTTTGCGCGGAGAATCGTCAAAACATTGCTACATATTTAGAGATATCTAAAGACATGGCGTGAGCCAGGGCCTACTCAGGCAGGTTTAACAATCGCGCAGCAATCGCGGATCAACCGGGAACAGATCGCGGATTTCATCGACATTTTTTGAAAATTGACTTGATCTGGGCTGTTAGACTTTGAACTTTGTTGTTCTGGTTCTTCTTTGCTACTGGCTATCACTATTGAACACCGTGTCTAGGCAAACCCGAACACAGTATAAGGCTGAAATGTATGTAACAAGAAAATCATGCCATAGAATATTGATTTCTCCTCTACAATAGTCGATTCTCATCACAACAAATGTTTGTCTCAATCGCAAACCAATCGCCGATCAATCGCGACGCAGGGTTTTACAATCGAGGATGCTGAAATACACCCTGCGATCGGCTCCCAATATGATTCCATGATTTCCCATCCTGATCTATGCTCAACTCAAGGAGTTGTCGCTCATGCTGTGTCCACCCACCTTGAGGCAATATCTGGAACAGATTTGTGCCCTCGAAAGTCTTCGCAAAGGTGAGCTGCACCTTAGGATCTGCCATGTGCTCGAGATGTGCTGCTGGAAGAATTCAACTAAGCACTAAAAAGGATTGAACATATGAACCGTAATTTCCAAATGGGAACTTGTGATTGCAAGCATCTCTGTGAAAAAATGTTCTTGCAGGGCTCACTATGCCTGAATGTCAAACAAAAGAAACGGGGAGGAAAAACAAGCAATCGCCTTCGTGAAACAATGTTTTCATTTTGATAAGAGTGGTCCAACAACGAACTCAGAGCCTGCTTGCAGCACTTGTCGTTGCTCTTCTTGAATGACTGAGATTGTTTTCCTACCTGGTTGATTTGACACCAACTGCTTGACAAGCAGTTTCAGGCCAATGCGCAGTGTCAGTGGATCAACATGGCTACATGGTTGCCAAATGGCTGCCAAGCCCTCCTATTTGATTCAGGGCAGCACGCAGAGGCTTGTCCCATTTCCAGAAACCACATGTGCTTACTCTGCGGGTGAAAATGCGTGGACATGCTATGGGGAAGCTGGACACGGTGACGGGTGAAGATGGGTAAAGCATACGACGCGCAGTGTACATTAAGATTAAATCAATTATGTCATATGAACATCATAAGTAGTAATTTATCAAAGGAAATTTGAAAGTCTACACTTCCGTGTTAGTAATCTTTGGAAGTCACTGCAATGAATGTCACTGCAATGGGTGTCACTGCAATGGATGTCACTGCAATGGATGTCGCTGCAAAGCATGTCACTGCAATGGATATCATTGCCATGAACGTCGCTGCAATAGATATCACTGCGATGAATGTCACTGCAATGGCTGTCAATGACTGCAATGGATGTGACTGGCATGGATGTCACTGCAATGGAAAATTGCATTGGAGTGGCTGCGTCACAGTTGCTCTGCGTTGCTGTTGCGCAGGTATTTCCATGGTCTTTTGCAGCTCGCAATCGTAGTGGTGTGGCTGCATCAATGTTGCTGTGCTTTGCTGTTGCGCACGAAGTCCTATGGTGTTTTGCGACTCGCTGCTTGCAAACGTGTTGGAGTGGCTGCGTCACTGTTGCTCACTGTCGATGTTGCGCACGTAGTTCCATCATCTTTTGCAACAATCGCGTTGTGTATTGATTGCGCCACAGTTTCGACGACGGGTTTTTGATGATTTTTATCGTTTCTGGCGCTTTCCATTTTCCTTTTAAATGTGCTTTTTAAAAAGCCTTCAAAACCGTACTTGACTTGTCTTATGGCTTTGGCGCCAAGATCCATCTGGTTTTTGAGCAGGTTTTGGGCCAGAGGAGAGCTGAGATGATCTGAGAGTGAGCTGAGAAGAGGTGAGAAGAGCTGAGAGCAGCTGAGAAGATGTGAGAAGAGCTAAGAAGAGCTTAGAGGATGTGAGAAGATGAGAGAAGAGATGAGAAGACATGAGATGAGCTGACATGAGCTGCCAAGAGCTGAGAAGAGTTGTAAGAAGAGCTGAGAAAATCTGAGCAGAGCTGAGATGAGCTGAGATGGGATGAGTTGAGACGACCTGACATGAGAAGAGAGGTGAAGAGCTAAGAGCTGAGTTGAGACGAGCTGCGTAGAACGGAGAAGCTGAGAAGAGCTGAAAAGAGAATAGTTCAGATGAGCTGAGAAGAGATGAGAAAACTCGGATGATACAAGTTGTGATCAACTGCGAAGAGCTGCGAAAAGGAGAGAAGACATGAGATGAGAGGAGAGGAGAGGATGAGATGAGATGAGATAAGATGAGATGAGATGAGATGAGAGGAGATGAGGCAAGGTGATGAAAAACGCTGAAAAAACAGGACATGAGATGAGATGGGATAACACAAACTGCGGTGACGATGGGATGAAATGACCAATTTCCAAGGGAAACTGCGACACGATGAGACCAGATGAAATGAGAAAAGATCAACCTTCAAAAGAGATGGCACTGGAATAAAAAAAACAAGAGATTGCTGCTGCGATGCACAGAAGGCTTGGCCGCACCCTATAGGCACAGTCTTTGCTCCGCTCTGTACGCTGTAAACGTATCACTTTTGAAACTTCCGCTCCCTGCTTGCTCGGGAGCTAATTACTTGTATCATATGATATCATACGCTATACGCAATGCTGTTCATAATTCATATGCAATCCAAGTCGCACCATCCATGCCACCAGTCACAAAGGCAGCTCGCTGTCTTAGGCGTTCCCGGAAGCAGAATGCAATATTGGTGACCTGGAACTCCCAATCACAACAAACCGATTCCATAGAGGCACAACACAGCAAGCACAAAATGTGGCCGTCTTGCTCCTGCACTCAGTGCCTGGCCTTCTCCTGAAAGAAAATCAAACCCAGTGGAAAGATGTGGAACAGTTGCAATTGCACAAAGATTCAAATCAGCCTGCTGCAATCTGCAATTGTTAGATGTTTGCCATCAAATTTTCGATCATGTTTTCATACATGTTCTTTGGCAAAGGAAGTGCTGACGTACTTGCTGCATCTCTGAATCCATTTGCTTACTTCATATCAATCTGCAGCATCTGCTTATAAAATCTGGGTTATCTATTCATGACAAAAAGGAACGCATAGCAACACAGCCCTAGAACAAATGGAAGTAAGGTAACCATAGGGAACCTTGGGGAACCAATGAATTGGCTGCCTGCTTCTGAAGTACATCAGTGTGAGTGCAGTCACCACAACACCACCATTAGCTATCCATTGCTGTCACCCTTGTCGCTACCACTGCCGAGCATTCTTCGCAAAATGGATACAGTATGGATGTCGTATAGCGCTATTTTCTTCATGTTCAATACATCATGATCACTGCCTGGAGCAGGTTGAAGAAATGAAGGATGCAAACCTTGCAAAGCTCCATGTTGTGCTTATGTCGTCTCCTCAGTCTTAGGGTCGTTGAAAGTCGTCGAGCCCAGGATGCAAATAACTGGTTTTTCAGGAAGTTGCCGCCTGCCAGCAGATTGCGTCCAGAAAACCAAGAATGGCAAACTTGCAAAAACAGAAAACTATGCAGTATCATGCAGTAACTGGCAGTAACAATAAATGGTATTGTCAATTTTTCATGCCCATCGTGAATCTTAGCTACCTGTCAAGAATCTAATGACACCGGCAAGCGGCCTCAAACAGTGTGGGGGGGTAGCAAGTCAATGGAACAGTACCAGATCAGGTCAGACATTATCGTAACGGCAGCAGCAAGGACTTGCTTTGGCACAAGAGGCAACGCTATAATATGTCTACTCATCAGGACCTCATACCAAAACCCCATAATGCCATAGCAGGACACCTAAGAGAAGTCAAAGAAGGACCTTCTACAGAAAGATACATAAAGGATCTCTCAAGTTTCATACAGGAACCTTCCCACAAGGACCTGTACGAGATCATGAAAGGACACCTAGAGGATTTCACTTGGAGCTTCGAAGATCTTCTCACAAGGACCTGTACAAGATCATGCTAAGGCCTCCGGCAGCATTTCACTAGGACCTGCGAAAGATCTTCTCCCAAGGACCCGTACCAAATCATGCACGGACGCCTCTTAGAGGATTTTCACCAGGATCTCTACAGATCTTCGCACAAGGAACTGTACAAGACTTTTATGCCAGGACCGGACCCCTATCAAAAAACAAAACCGTCAGCTGCTGGAGAAGATCTTACAAGATCTTGATACAAAACCTCCGACAGCCTCCCAGAAGAGCTCCCGGACAAGCACCTCTAATACATGGCATCTGAGAGATCTGCATGCAAGGACCTCCTAGAGAGGATCCCACTGGAACAAGATCTTCTGTTAAGGACCTGCGCTGGATCACGCAAGGACCTCTTAGAGAGGACCCCACCAGGATCTCCACAAGATCTTCCGCTAAGGACCTGTACAAAATCATGCATTGCCCCCTTACAGGATATCAGGATCTTAAGGACCTCAACAAGACCTTGTTCAAGATCCTCACATTATATTACGAACCTCTAAGATTGAAACTCGTGCAAGATCGTCCTAGACAGACCTCGAAATCTCTTTGCAATCTCAGGGGAATCAGCCAAAATCAGCACTGCACCACAACGAGAGTGATCCGACACGCACAAAGCGCCGAGAATTTACAGTAAAAATGCAGCACCCGCGTACCCTGATCTACAGCAACCCTGGCCATTAACACTTATCGTGTGGACAGACTGCTTGGGGAATTGTTGGCGGGTTAGTACATTTTACTATTAATCTCACAGTCTTGTGTGCTGGTAACAGACTGGGTGTTGATTGTCAATTGCAAATGAAGGTGCAAGGCTCTGCGACGATCAAAATGCAAACAGCAAGGAAACTGGCAATTCAGCAAAGGTTGCGGCCGTCTTTTTGCTGAAAAGCAGTCATGGCTCAATTCGGCCGGTCTGCGCAGCACATGGGAAAAGGTGGCATCGTTGCCAGTTGAGCAACGCATGATTGCGGTATTCGCATCCAAACGTTCATGCAATGAAAGTGTCAACATCTCTGGACCGCTTGACAGGTTTACATGTCAAATCTTCACACTGGTCTTTGTTTGATGTTGATGCAATTGCCCGCTCAGTCTTCTCGGTAGTGCTTTTCCTGGACAAAGCTTCTTCTCTCAGCTGGCACCAGGGCGCGGAACACCATTGCATCAGTAAAGCTCGAAGTTTGGGGTCAAGCTTCGTCAGTCCATCTGCTTGCATGATCTGGGTAGGTACCCAGTGAACATCTTTGCGGCCCAAGCTTTGCTGCACAGACCTAATTGCTATCAGACTTCTCTTTTCGCTCGTGGATGGGTTCTCGGCCACGAGACAGTCGAAAAGAGACTTGGCATCCACGGCTTGCTTCATGTTCATTTTCATCACGCCTTTGTAAGCAGGGATCTGGTGGAAGATCTCGGTGATGAAATAGTTTACGAAACTGCCTCTGTCAGCGCCTTCATCAGCGCTGTAGGCCTCGGCTGCGAGTGTGCTCCGGCAGACTCTCTGTGTTCTGCCGCTCTTCCAATCAACCAGAAATGCATTGCATGTACGCTCTGTCACCTGTGGTGGACATATTGTCACCAAAACGCCAAACTGCGAAGTCAGATTTGATGCGTTCGCCCATGAAGCGTCTGAGTAAATCAGGATGACGGAGTTCTGGTTGAACGGCACAGAAGGGAAGCCTATGCCAAAGTCTGGTGTTTCTCTGGCGTGCTTGATGCACTCGTACACTTTGTTGAGATCGCTGATCTCGGTCTTGGATCCTTTTTGGCACAAGGATGACGCGGCTGCCAAGTCAGGCCTTGTCTGACCTGAGAGCCATTGCAAGCTTCCGACGGCACTGCGGAAGTCGCTCATTTCAGCAGTGCTCAGCTCGCTGTCTTGTTGAAGACGTCCAGGAGGTAGCTTACCTGCAGTGGTTCCTTCTATGAACTTCTTCTGGGTGATGTAGTACTGCAGTTTTCCTCCGTGTCGCTTCAAAGTGATTTCTTTGCCTCGGTAAACTCCGGGCTGGTTCTCTGTGACTTTTGTGATGGAGCCCCATTCAAACATTTCTTCCAACTTGGCTATTGGAAACGAGGTTGAATACACAGCCATGAAGTCATCGACATGCACTATCAGTGCACAGTTCAGTTGGCCACTGGCGTCGAAGTGCATGTAGAAGCAACGGTCGAGGCTGTGCTGGATGAACCCATTCTTTCGAAGTTTCGCATCCACAGCAATGTACCAAGTGCGAGGTGCATTGCTAAGGCCATAGCAGTTACCCAGTATCTCGTACAAGGCAGCGGCAAAAGCTTTGGCACGTTGCTGAATGGGGTCTCGTGGAGGTTCCATGAAGATTGGTCCATTCCTCTCAGACTTGTCTTGAAATCCTTGAAGGAATGCCTTCTCAGCATCTGACAGCCATAGAGTCCATTGGAGTCCATCCATGTTGAACTCGCCATTTGCGCCAGAGGTTGCTATGCAAAGGATAATCATCTCTGAAAGGCGCGTTGGCGTAGGGCTGTCTCTTGATAGTTGGCGAAGGTCAGGGTCAGCACATCCAATCACCACAACTCTGGTTTTTGGGCGTAGTGGTGGTTGTCCTCTGTTTTTATCCCGGTAAGCCGCACGGCTTTTCATGATTCTGCGGCGCATTTTCGCAGAATTTCGGATGCGGTTTGCCTCATCCTCCGGGATTGCCCTGACACCGCCCCATTTCATCCATCCATTGTACTCGCTGATGGCACTCTCAACGTACTGCTGGATGGTTGCTTCATCTTGCTTCATGATGTCCCGCCAAGGAATTTCTCTGTCAAGTTGTTTTGCTTCCTGGCGGGTCATGCCTCTCTCATTGGACAGCTGCAAGTCCTCGTCGGACGAGTCATGATCGGGCCGAGTGAATTCGCCGATCCCTGAGAGCTCAATCTCTCTCTGCTTGCTGTTGAGATAGGCTTGGTGGCATCGGTCACTTGTGGCGTATGGCAGTGGTAGTTCTTCGCTGCCATCCCAATGGATCAATGGTTGAAGTGACCCATCGTCGGTCATGTAGTAGTTGATGAGGGCATCAGCGGGTCGTTTTTGTAGTAATTCTGGGAGTCGTTCAGGTGGTTGTGGAGTGTTTGGTGCTGCTTGTAAGTCAGGCGTGATTGTTTGTGGTACTGCTGTGGCTGTAGCTGCGGCTTGAGATGGTACTGAATAAGGTTGGTTGTACGGTTGTACTGAATCAGGTTGTGTTGGTGGTGGTTGAACTTGTGTCGTTGTTGTTGCATCCGTTAGTGCTGGTCTTTGTTCTGCTTGACGTAGGGGTGTTGGCCTACGGTCTCTGGATGCATTGGGTGTTCGAGAGCGGTGTCGGCTTCTCGGTGTTGGCATTGTTGGTCCGAAGTTGGGTTGATATTGTTGGTAGGTCGGTGAGTCAATGTTAATTGTCACATTTTGTTGTGTGTTGTACTGCTGTTGCTGGCTTCTGAGCATGGCAAGTTGTAGTTGTTGTTGAAATGTATGTTCTGCTGCTGCGGCACTGGGTTGTTGTGTCGGTTGTTCTTGGTCGCGTGCTTGTTGTATGGTGGGTGCTGGTAGGTCGAGTGTACTCATTGGTATGTCTGGTGATATGTCTGGTAGTGTGTCGGTTGGTGCTTGTACGGTTTCTGGCCGTGGTGTTGGTGGTAGTGATTGATCTTGTAGTTCAGTTTGTGCTGAATGAAGTCGTGGTTCCTGGATGGGTCGAAAGTTGAAGATCTCCTGGTCGATCATTTGGGCTTCATCTTCTCCAGGAGGATCACCGCGACTATCGTCCCACAGGCCTTGTGAAAGGTTGGCTTCTGCGTCTTTCAGCAGCTTGACATCCTCCTCCGAAGGTGACCAGTCCTCCCATCCGCAAGCCAGGCGAATCTGGTTGTTGCCAATGCGAATGGTTGTTTTGCCCACTTGAACCCATGAGGATTTCTTGTCAGGGTCGCTGGCCAAGTATCTGCCCAGACTCCATGATCCCTTTTTGTGCTGCCGGGATCTTCCTTGCCACCGCCAAAATGCAATGGTCTGTCCAGGTTGAAGTCGAGGTAGATCTTGTTGTGGTCTGGTTTTTCGGAGGAGGCCTCGGCGTACAGCTTGTGATGCGGAAATCTGCATCAATGTGGTAACTGCCTCAGCTCTCAGCAGCTCTGGTCGGAAGATCTGGTTGTTGTTGTTGCTAATCACCAGGGCCTTGTCATCAGAGAGCAAATCGCCCAATGGCCTGGGGATCCTTCCGAACACAGCCTGAAATGGCGATCTGCCATAGCTGTATGTGCTGCTATTGAGAGAGTGACAGGCTGCCACAATCACTTCGTCGAGAGCTTCTCGGCTGACCACTGCATGGTGGTCGACAAGCCTTTCCACCAAAGTTCGAAGAAGGGCATTCCTTCTTTCAATCTTGCCAATTCGCCAGTGCTCTTCAGCTGGAATGATCTCATACTCGATGCCGTGGCGTGCATGCCACTCTTCCATGTTGCCCAGAAATGCCGTGTCGGGATCGACTGTCAGGTGTTGTGGGAGTCCAAGTGGATGATACCACATCGTCAAAAAGGTCTTCAGCACTGTCGCAGGATGTCTGTCAGTCAGAGTGGTGGCCACAATGTAGTTCGTGAATTCATCCACTATTCCAAGAACTGGGACATTCTGTGACAAAGTCCGAATGTAGACGATGTCAGCCTGAAGTCGATCTCCAAATGCTGAGGCATTCATTGTTGATGTGGAAGAAACTGCAGGCTTTTTGGGCAAGGTCAATCGCAGGCAACTTCCACAACGTAGTGCATCGAGTCCAGCTAAAACCTTGCTGCTCAAGTTGTTGGAGGCAGCAAGAATGCGAATCAGTTCTTCTTTCGGTGGATGGCCCATATTGGCATGAAGGCGTGCTAGTGACTTCTTCAGCTCCTTGGTCATTTCAGGTGGTGCATCTTCGAACCAAATGTCAGTTGTCATTCCACTGACTAGGTCCTTTGATGATGGAGCTTCTTGTTGTGGACGTTGTTCAGCTCCGTCTGCTTCCTGCGAATCATCTTGAGGTCCACCTGGAGCATGACCAAAGAAGAAAATGCCGAGACGAATTGTCTCGAAATACCTTTGTTTTGGGTACACCACTGAAGATAGATCTTCGCTCTCCAGGATGATCTTGCCACTGGCTGTTCGAAGGGCTGCTCCACGGTGTGTGAATGGTATGTCAGTTGGCCATCGACGAGCCACAGGAAGCCATGCCACTTGGATACGCTCAATGTCCCAAGGCACCAATCTGCAGATCTCGTTGTAGAGGTCGTCATTGGTTGGCAGGTTGTATGGCTTCTTGTGCGTGTTCTCAAACCTCTTCTCAAAAGTGTTGAGAAGAGAGTCCCAGGCCTGCTCGTCGTTGGTGGGCTTGACATAGTACACGGAAGCCTTCTCAGGTGGTCGAAATCTGAGAGGGTCTCGTGCAACAGCTTCACGTTTGAGGCCACGAAGGATGGCATCACAAAGGCCATCACAGTATCGGCCGCTGGCTTCTGTGTCTTTGCCCTGCACAGGTTTGGTGTAGAGCTTGGCTTCATCGGTGAGGACCCGACATAGTTCTGCCATGATCTCCTTGGAGTTGCCAATCCATTGATGTGGTTTTTGGATAGGCCAGCCATCTTCAGTTTCTGCACCGTAGGCTCCAGCATCGCATCGTGTAGTTATGTTGTCAGGCAGTTCGGTGACAGAAACCACTGGCTCCTCTCTCCAAATGCGGGATCTCAATGGATTTTCGCCCAGATAGAACCTGTCATGTTGGTGCTGATAATGCATAAGGTCAGCGCCGAACTCCACCAGAGGTCGTTCTTGCTGTCGTAGCTGTTCAAGTTCGCCTGGACGCCATGAATAGTTCATGTTCTCGTTGAAGATGCTCCATTCTTTGCATGGCCATTCCACTACGACCAGTAGAGGTCGAAACTTCTTCACGGCTCTCCAGACGATGGCTCGTCCTTCTGGTGTGGTGAGATCAACGTTGATCTTGATGTCAATTGGTTCCAGGGCGGAAAGCTTGAACCGAGGGGCTCTTGCTGTCAAATTGGCACTGCCGGCAAACACTTCCAGGAGGTCAATCTTGGGGCCGAACTGCATCTGGTCCTTGTGGTTGGGCATCTGTGCATAAGCCTGATTCTCCATCTCATAGGTCTTCAGGACTTGCCTCAAGTGACCAGTGACCCATGTGGTTTTGGGTCTCTTCATCATGGTTCGATCGTCGACCAATCGTACTCGTCGGAGATTTCCTCTGCCTCCTCCGCCTTGATGGCTGCTCTCCGCTTGCCAGCGCCAGAACTCTTGGGTCTGGCCGTGCTCTTCTTCTCCTTGGTTGTTGGAGGTGGTTTGGCAGCATCCATAATTGGCGCGGGGCGAGCTGGCTCCGAAGTTGTCGAGGAAATCGAGACTGCCAGGGTCCAGCGGGGCTTTCGGTTCTTGTCCACAAAGGTTGACGCTGTTGAGGATGCAGGCGATGGCAGTTGTGGCCGCCGCGATGGCGCTGGATCTACCCAGCGATCTTGTTCGTCTGACCACCGCCACCCCTTTTGGCAATCCTGGCACTTGGCGAAACTGCCGTGCCTGTTCCCGTACCGTCGAATTGACGGATGTTGGCAAGGCTGTTGGGACATGTCCATCAACTTCATCATGTTGTCCATCTCGAGAGGGTCTTGGAATGTCAGCCAACGCCTTGGTCGAATTCGTAGCTTCACTGCCTGTAGCATCACCTGGCATAGAAGCCTTTCCGCTTGAAAAAGTGCTGCAACGAAGCGGCTCCAGTTCTGCAACCATTGTGGAGGCGCTCCTTGAAGCATTGCTGGGGCTTTCAGGTCGTATGTTGCAAACCTTGAGAGCCTGTGGTGGCAGCATCAATTCACGGTCGCCTTCAAATTTGCTGCAGAGTTTTGTCAAATCATGCCAAACTGGTGATTTCGAAACATGCTCAGGAAATTTGCTGATATTGAAAGCAAGGTGGCCGTTGACCATACAAATAGGCAAGGTGATCTGCAAACTTCTGAGATATGCACTCCTCTTGGGCAGGTCGAGCACCACTTGGAGCTTGTCTGAAAGAAGCCCGCTACTGCCTAACAAAGGAATGTCATTCGTTGTGGAAATAACGCATGCTCCCAACAATAATAGTCCATGATGAGTGTCGTCCAAACCCGCGGGAATCAAAGCATGTTGGTGACTAAACTGCGTGGGACCGTGACCAAATTCGAAGGGCTCCTTGTTGGGGCTGGTGTGCATCTTGAGGCTGTATCTTTCCAACTTCTCCTTGCGAAAAGAAAACCAAGTTGAGCTGCAACACGTACGTTGACAAGCAGTATCCAAAACCATGAAATCTGCAAAGCTCTTGATGTTAGTGCCATATACTTGGTGGATGTTGATGCTGGGGTTATTGGTCATGAAGGTGAAGTACGTTCCAAATGGCCCATGCTGATCATCGCCATCATGAGTTTCACCATCATCTTCATCAAAGCTGACCGACTTGAGAGATCCATTGGGCTGCTGCACGCGCAAAACTCTTTTGGCTGGTGCTGACGAAGTCTTGTCTGGTTTCTTGGCATCACCTTTGGCTCCACCTTTGCCAGCAGCAGGCTTTGAACTTTGACGGCAGGCTGCATCGCCCTGCCAGTGCCCTTTCTCACCGCAAACTGCGCAATGACTTTCCTGCTTTCTCTGCTCTATCGTCTTCTTGCCGCTGAAGCGACGTCCCAATGTCAAACTTTGGAGACGCCTTGCAGTCACTGTCAAGCATTGCACAACGTCACGGAGGCTGGAATCGAGCTCATCATCTTCGCCCTCAGGGGCGCCTTCATCTTCTTGGTTCTCGTCGGCCTCATCTCCATCAGGAGCTTGTTGATCAGCATCCTCATCGGCTGCCTGTTCTTCTGCATGATCTTCGGTGGGTTGGTCCTCATTGTCAGGGTTCTCAGCAACATAGGTCCTCTTGGTGTTGGTGAAGGCTGACGGGCGTTTGCCTTTGGAATCGCCCTTGCCACCTTTTTGGTTGCTTTGTCCTCCACCTTGTCCAGAGTTGGCTGGATGTGTTTTGGATTGGTCTGGCCTATGATTTCTGTCCCCCTTTCCCTCAAACTCTTTGACATAGACAACCAGAGGTGCTGGACGGTGCTGCGGGAATTGCAGCAATGCGGACTCAACCACATCATGATACTTCAAGCTTTGTTGACAACCCACAAGCACAAGGCGCTGCGCCTCCAAGCTCAACCTCATTCTATCGAGGATTCTGGATCCCCTTGACTCCTCATCGTACATGGCCTGAGCATTGATGCCAACTGCAAGCAACGATCGTTCTGTTCTATGATAGCGGTTGGTGAAATCTCTGATGCTCTCCCCAAAGTGCCTCTGAATGGTCTCAAACTCATGGAGGTACTTGCGCTTGAGGTAAATGGTCTTGGTCATCAATGGGGCACGCAGCATTTCGACGATGTAGTCAACGCCGTCGTCAGAGTCTACCTTCTTCAGATCGCAGTGCTCAAGTTCTTCTTCTGCATCTCCACGAAGTGACGAGTACAGCATGAGGCTGGATTCCCTTGGAGGGAGATATGCTCGGATCTGCAAACGCCAAACTTCCAGTTTCCTTTCACACTTGGAGAAAGCTCGAAGGTCATCCTTTGCATAGGTCCATGGTGGTGGCTGCGGTGGTGTGCCTCCACGATACTTCAAGCCAGGTGAAGGTCCCATTGCAATATTCCAAGGCTCTTTGGTGCCTTGGTCAGCAAGCTGCTTCAACATCTCATCTCGCCACTGTCCATGCGGGCCAGTGGAAGGCTTGCTGGAAAGCTTGCTGGAAGGCTTGCTAGAAAATGGTCCTCCATCTGAATGGCCAGGGCTTGAAGGTGAAGGTGCTCCACCACGCTTTGTCGTTTGCATCGATGTGTCATATGAAACTTTACGACGTCCAAGTTGATCAGCATGTAGTGCATCCTTTTTCCTAGCAGCACGTCGTTGTCGTCTGCTCGGTCTTGCAGGAGTCTCCACTGGGTCGTCAGGATCAACAGTGGGATCATTCGTCAACTGCTCAGACTCAGCAGGATGTTCATAGTCTTCATTGGGCTCGCTCATAGGTCTCGGATCGTCAGGCATCCGAACATCTGGGTAATCTCGTGGCCAGGAACGCTCATAGTGCCAAGGTCTGGGTGGTGGCTGTACCCGACTGCTGTCTTCCAGAAATGCGTCTCGAAAACGATTGCATCCACAGGACATGCAGGTCCAGGCAGCTCCTTCACGTCTCCAGTCGGCACTGTGGCAATTCACACAAAGCCACAAGCTATCTCCAGGTTCGATGGGTTCCAAGTCCGGAAGGTCATCACTGTCACACTCATCGTAGTCCAGTGGGTCATGGAGTCCATTCGTTCGCCTCAATGCAGGATTCGGTGCAGGGAACGCGTTCAGAAAACTTCGAAATCCATGCGATTCAACTGCAGAGGGCCATCTGGGGTCTTCCATGGTATCCGGAACTTTGGTAGCTCCGCTACCAGCTCACAGTCTTGTGTGCTGGTAACAGACTGGGTGTTGATTGTCAATTGCAAATGAAGGTGCTAGGCTCTGCGACGATCAAAATGCAAACAGCAAGGAAACTGGCAATTCAGCAAAGGTTGCGGCCGTCTTTTTGCTGAAAAGCAGTCATGGCTCAATTCGGCCGGTCTGCGCAGCACATGGGAAAAGGTGGCATCGTTGCCAGTTGAGCAACGCATGATTGCGGTATTCGCATCCAAACGTTCATGCAATGAAAGTGTCTGGACCGCTTGACAGGTTTACATGTCAAATCTTCACAATTAATAACAAAGGATTAAAGCACTAAAGTATCTAACCAAGGTTGACCCAGTGCCCTGCAAACATGTAGCAGCATTTCACGGAGATTGCAAAACCAAGATCAGGACAATGCCTGAGTCGAGACACAGCAGTGTGGCCAGTATCGTTGATGGAGAGCTTCTCCACCGCGTCATCTGGCATGCTAAGTCATGCAACAAGAATCAGAATGTCTGGTGCCTGGTTTCTGTTGACTCCCAGTTTTGCAGGCTTGTCTAGAGCTGGTCCAGCACTCCACATTCTGAACTTGCGATAACTATCGATAACTTGCATCTCCCAAGTAGATTTTGATTTTCGCAGCAGTTTGCTTCAAGCACTTTGATGCAACAAGTGACCAGCACTTTCGGCAGGTCGCCCCGACTAGCCCGGTCTGGGTGCAACGAGCAGCACGAATTGTGCCAGCTCACATCATCATTATTGATGGGGACATGCAGGAAGACTATGAATTTCGAATTTCTCTGGTAAGGCTGCGAGCATTTACAAAGAAAAGCGCGTGTCCTGTGGCGTCCTGCGGAATTCAATGGGCTTTTGGACAAATGCAAAGTAACAAACGGCCTTGAATACGGCCTAGCTGAAAGATTGAACCATAAGAACAACCGAGTTTTTCAAATTACTGCAAATCATGGCAAGACAAGAAAGGCCACAACTTTCAGAGACAGAGACGAAATCTCTCACAAATGCCAGCCAACAGCCCAAAGTCCTTAGGTGGCTGTGCTTCCTCCAATGGATGAGATTCCTGACACATGTGTTGATCAACGCGACTTTTGCTCAAACATGTGGTTGGAACAGTTGAAACAGGACACCTCGTGCACCATGCAAGACGTTCCATTGACATCTATTGACAATCTCATTTGGCTCAATGCTAACGATTCAGTCAAGGCATGACGGAGCTCAAAGGCATGCACCGCCTTTGATTCTTTATCTTTGAATATCTTTGATATCTTTGATATCTGTTGTGATTTCTATTTTGATTTTTCAATTCTTGCAGCAAGACTGGAAAATATTGGAAACAGGGCTGGAGCATTTTCGATGTCGCCTCATAGAGTTGAGACTTAAGAGCAAACACATTTGAACATCATTAGATGTGTGACGGACAACAGTCACGCATAGTCGGGCGATGTTGGCGGAACCAGCTTACATCCAGCTTACATGTCTGATGTCTGCCCGCAAGGACGAAACACCATTGCTCACCTTTTCAGCCTCCACTGGAAGGGCTGCCTGAGATTGAACACGAGGCCATCACAGGCCACCCATGACCAGCCAATCAGCAACTGTTCAACCCCACAACAAATTTAACAAACATAAACAAACCTCAACCAATATGTCAAACGCGAGGGACACAGCCTTTCGAGCTTGCATTGTTTTTGAAACATGCCCGCCACGAGAGATTCCGGGCATTTCCACTCATTTATTAAGAAGTTTCGAATAAATCATATCATAAATCATAGCATCTCGTCACGTCCACTTAGCGCATCTTTGCGCACCCGCCTCCAAATCAGGGATCGCCTCGCTCTGCACTTGCACATCTTGCACCTCGATATGGAAAGCGCAACGTCGAAACAAATGCGCACTGCGCACACAACATGTCCCAACAGGTTCAACGGATTTCAACGGGCATCTTGAAATTAAGTGAATGCATTCCACTTTTGGCCAAATGACTGAGGAGCCTAACTCATGTGGAATATCAACATGGGTAGCCAATGGTAGCCAGGTAGCAATGTACTTTGAAGCATTTTGAAGCTATTTAAAGCCCCTAAGAACTAAGAACAAGCTCTCTGACTTTGGATCGTCATTGCTTGGGCCTCCTGGGATTCCTCTGGTTCCTTTCCGTCTCCATGCACGATCACAGTGCATTCTTCGCCGAGCCCCAGTGTCCTGAAAACGTCCGACACTGGAAGTAGACCTGTAAATATCATTGAATATTCATATTTATGTTGAGATATATTGAGATTGACATGGACTTTTTGTATCTTTTTGTTGGACATGCTATCGCATTGGGGGTGTTTGCAGTGTCCTTGGTGGATCTTGGTGACACATTCTCGTGTAATCCCTTCTTCCTATTGCTAAAACTCCCCCAAATAGAAAAGATAAAATTGGTGTGGCACTTCCGTTTTTTATTTTTTTGGGTTTGGCACAGGTGAAACAAGGGGTTCAACCCCCTATTAATAAAAATAGATTGCCGCCTGGTTTTTTTTTTATTATCTCACAAATTTTAATTTTCATTTTTATTATTAAGGTTTTTATTGGAATATAAGGGGAGAGCATCGAAATCCAGTTTGTGGCAATATTTTATATAGATTTTAATAAGGAACTTATCTAATTAAATTTGAAATCGAGTTTTTTTTTAATTTTTGTTATTACGGTTTTCATTGGAATATTAGGGGAAAGCTTCGAAATCCAGTTTTTGGCAATACTTTATATAGATGTTTATAAGGGATTTAGTCAAATTTGAAATCAAGTTTTATTTTTAGGGTTTTTCATTGGAATATTCGGGGCACCGGGGCACCCTAATACAAAATACCCCCTAATAATAAAAATAGATCACCGTGTTTACCATTTGGGGGGTTAGTAATAGGAAGAGAGGATTACTTGGTACATGCCATGTCGATGGGCGTTCCTGACAATACCGATTGCACAAAAGCTGAACTCGATGTTAAGGTTGTTTGTCTTTGTGTGCCCATGTGAGGGAACAAGCACTGTACCATGGGATCCATGGGCATTTTCAAATGCCTAAAGTTGAAGTGCTCCTGACTCCGTACCCAAGATTACCCTGACACTTCCCATCAGCATTGCGCTCTTGCATTACCACACTGCGTATACAACTTCAAAAACACTCTGGGCTTTAACCCGCCTCACCCTGCGATGCAGCAGTGCAAAAACCATGCGTGGCCGCCGCACTGCATCACGCAAAGCACTGCGGACTGCGACCCCGGGAGGCCGGGCCTTGAAAGGTCACACAGAAAATGAACCTTAACGCCCAAAACGTCATGGAATAGTATGACAGAAATAGCACCATATCTGAGATTAGCATAGAGGAGCATGGATTAGCAGTAGTCAAATTACATCAAATTACAGTATAGACTATAGATATGTATAGAATTGTATAGATTATTTATGTTAGGCCAAATGGGTTAACTGGCTGCTTCAGCTTCTGTGGACTCTCACACCAAAATGTGGAGGCAAAGCAGGACCCACCATGTCCGCGGTGGCACGTGCAGCGCTGCCTTACTCTTCTGCTTGGCACCAATGCCAGGATCTTCGCCGGCCTGTAGCATCCAGGCATCCAGGGTAGGAAACAATCGATTACGATTGGTTTCTGTGCCTGTGCCGAAACCCCAATTATTGAGAAGCTGAATGAGCAATGATGAACAATCATTGCCTAGCTCTGCAGAATAAAAAGTTTAGTGATGGTCACCATTCCCGATGAAATCTTCACGTTGATACCCTCCCTTTGAAATCTTTATGCAGCCTAATTCCAACCTCTACTACAGTATATTGCTGTGGGAGTACCCTTCCAGATCCTTCAGGATGCATCCTGCAACACCTTCCCTGGCCCCCTGGGCCCTGGCCCCCTGTCGCCTCAGTGCCGTCATGATTGAAGCCCACGTGACCAAGCTTTCTGTTGCTCGGGTGGCCCCAAATATAGAGACGATGGTCTGCGGTGACCCTCAGGAGGGCAGCGGTCAAAATCACCACGCACCAGAACACAGGTGGCCTGAAGTAGCAACGGCATGACCATCTCTGCAAATCCATGTCAGTGGTATTTGGTTGTGGCATCCATGACATATATATGACATCATGAGGCTGGAAAGTTTCTTCAGGCAGGCTTGGACCAAACAATGTACAACCAATACCAACCCTCATTCAAAACACACAGCTCTTTGTATATATTTATATATCTTTATATTATACTGTCCTTACTCTGAAATATATCTCGATATTATTTGTAATGACTTGATCACACTTGTTCCAACAAAAGTACAATGTGAGGTATCGAGCTGCCATTGGATTTCCTATCCTTCATTCAAGTCTCATGGCTGAGTGCCACTTCCCAGCAAAAACCTTCTCCCCACCTCAGCTCTGAACAACAGTCTGCATAGACATCATAAACAATGCCGTTCAAAGGGAGCGTGGCAACTGCTACCTGCAACCCAGGTGCGCTCCTGAGTTGGTGTCACGTCGGAGAGGGACGCGGCCTACACCCGCGGACAAGTTGACAAGAGGACAAGACCAGGCCACAAACACAGAGAACGTGCCAGCAAGATACAGTAAGTTGATGATAGCTGATGACAACTGCAGTTTTGTTTAATGATTGTTTTTTTTTTTTAAATGTTTGTTCCCGAAAGCTCCTGCGAAGGGTTTGTCCTAAAGAACTGCTGCCAAATTCAACGTTCCACTTTATCTACATGACATCTCCTACATCTCCTACATCCCTCACATCACCTACATCAACTTCCATCAACTTCATCTACATCGCGTACATCACATACATCACATACATCATCTACAATCATCTACAATCATCTACATCATCTACATCAACTACATCAACTTCAATCAACTTCATCTACATCACGCACGCATCACATACATGATCTACATCTATTTCAATCAACCTCACCTACATCACATACATCATGTACAGCAACTTCAATGAAAATCATCTTCACCACTTACATCATCTACAGTAACTTCACATAACTTCACCAAGTTCATCAATAACATGACACACATCAATTTCATCTACAACACATCTACATTGACGTCACATCTACATCGTCTACATCCATCACTAACACAATCTACACTCGAGGTCTGGCATAGGAATTGCGACACAGGAGTTGTTATACTGGACTTGTTACAGAGTTACACAGGAATTGTTACAGTACACAGGAGTGGTTACACGGGCGGGAGTTTTGTTTTCACCCAGGAATTGTAATTTTTCTAGGTGATCTACTTGTACCTGAACTCCTACACAGCTCCTACTTCCCAAGTTCTTCCAAATTTTACTCTTTTGGTGACAGCCAGGCGGCGGCTTACGAAACGTGACCCTCTGCGGGGATCGTTCATGCGTGTCGGATGGAGAGCACTCTGCGGAGATCGTGCGCGTCGGACACACAAACGAGTGGTGAAATGGGAAGTTTGTCTGTGCCCGCAGAACCCTCGCAGAGAGCGTGCATGTGAAACGCACAAACGTGTGGCGAAATGCGACTTTGATTGCTGCTGGAGCAATCCTCTGCGGAGATGGTACATGTTGGACGCGCAAACGTGTGGTGACATGCACATTTTCTGTTGCGCCGCGCGGTGCCGCCTTTTCACACGAAATGAAGATCTAACGGCAAAATCTGAAGTTAAAATGCGAAATCATGTCGCAGATAAAGGTCCACTGTGGCAAGGGTTCTCCGTGTAAAATCTTCACTGTGTAAAGCGTAAAAACTTCTGTGCGTCGACGCGTCTGTGTGTAAAATCTACTCTGTGTAAAGACTTCTCCATGTAAAATCTTCTGTGTAAACGCTCCTCTGTGTAAAAAAGAACTTCTGTGTGTAAACCCGTCTGTGCGTAAAAGCCCCTTTCTGCAAAGCATTCTCTCCTTGTCTAAAAGCTTGTGTGAAAACGCCATCTCTCGTGATTCTGATTGTCGTCCAGGCGCCAGGGCCTCCTGTGGGGCCTGTGGGGACAAAAAAGAGCATCAAACTGTGGATATACGACATTTTACCAACATTCATCACCGTCAACATCACCACCATCATCAAGGGGTCAGTCTCCCAAAATGTGTATTGAACGCATAGTAAATAGATATATTTCAGAATTTGTCCACTTTGACCATCGGCGTGCCAATCGTATATAATTCCACATGGCGGAAGATTATTGATGTTTGGCGTAAGCGGTGTACCGTGTGACTGGCGCAGGTTCTATAGTAAATGGCTTAGGATCACGCCAGAGCTCGAATGACGATGAATGATGGTGACAAACTCTTTGGTAGCCACACGCTTTCGCATTCTTTTCCCAACAGTAAAACTCAACAGCTTTCAGCGGTGCAGCGCTTGGGAGACCAAGGAGGCAAGAGCAAGGATACAGAAGAGGAGACAAAGGGCAAGTAAGAGAGACAGAGGGGAGACAAAGGGACACAAGCTTGGCAAACAAGGCGGCAGCGACAAATTTGAGCAGTCAGCCAAAATGTAGGCACAGACTGTTTGAGACGTAAGAACCGTGATAGCCAAAGATATTTAAAGGCTAAAGGCTAAAGCTGTCTGGGGAAGAGAAAGCAAAGCTATGAGGACCTGCGCCAGCTGACTAAGGGAGAGGAACCACCAGGCATGGGGCAGCAGGTCAGGCCTCAGAATGACCTATGTTCGACTGTCTATATTTGAGCACCAAACTGAAGCAAAACACAACATAAATATATACATTTTTTACATATGCTGCCAATTTCAGGACTCACAAATGACCACCAACCTAAATCCAAGAAAAGTATACAGTTGCCATGACTTTCACCTTTGGGGGTATAGTGGGTAAACCATGTTAAACCCACAAAGATATCGGGGTGCCAATTCAGTATGTGATAATGTGCAGCAGTTTTAGAGCGGTCTAGCTTTTGGGCATAGGGCCTCAGGCTTTAAGATGCACAAAAACAATGAGAACTGGTTCTGCTATAAAATGCGTTTCCAGCAAATTCACGCCGAATTGGCATCCAAGTTCATCCAAATTCGAAGACCCTCAGAGGTATTTTTGGGTGAAGGTGCTGCCCAAACATTTAGTGTTTTTCTTCTGTTATCGCATTCTGTAGCAACAAAATACGGTGGCATTCTCATGTACCTTTTGTAGCATGGCCACATTCCAAGTCAGCAGTTCGTAGCAATTCCTTAAAATTCATTAAAATCCCTTAAAATCCCTTGAAATTCCTTAAAATTCCTTAAAATCCCTTAAACTTCCTTAACATTCCTTAAACTTCCTCAAAATTCCATAAAATTCCTTAAAAATCCTTAAAATTCCTTGAAATTCTTTAAATTCCTTAAACTTCTTTTTAAAAAAAAACCTTAAACATCTTTAAAACATCCTTAAAATTCCTGGAGAAAGCCCAATAACATCCTGGAAAAGCACTGGTTCCATTCTGCAATAAAATGCTCCAAACACTCATTTTTTTTGCAATAAAGTTAGAATGGAATTTTAACATGTTAAAAATCATCAGGATTTCCCTGGCCAATAAAATGCTCAGACCAACCCCTCAACAATAAAATAACTAACCTGACTCCAATTTTGAAACTCCAATACATTACGGATCTCGCTTAGACTATGCACAAGTCATCCATTTCTAGTGTGGAAATTGCCACGCGGATACAAAGATATCATAGGTAAACATAGTGGATGCATCCCATGAACCACGTGTGCCTATGCGAATTGCAAAAAATACATCAGTCAAGTTAAAGTCATGGGTGCTGCCCACGTGGGCCTTTCCCCAAAGGCACACCACAATTCGGCACAAGATTTGGTAATCGGCACTTGTTACAACATGTTACAACATCGACCCAGCATTTTCGTGTGTATTATCTCATCGTCTCCTTCCTCCTTCTTTCTTTCGGGCCCCACAGTCATCTATATAGTTGAATAGGAGGCGAGGACGTGAGTTAATGCCCAGTTCGGTTTCCAGGTGAGAAATCGGCCTTCTGGGATCTTTTGGTATATATAGTATATGATGTATATAGTGCTTTAGGGATGGTGAATTGTAACATATTATGCTGATAGTAATGCTGCACTTTGGTTGTTTGGGAACCACTATGGTGGTGATGATGATGATGATGACGACGGCAACGACAACGACGATGTCGTCGTCATCATCATCATCATCATCACCACCACCACCATCATGACCATCATCATCACAAAACAGGCGAGACATGATGCAAAAATACAACAAATAATCAATGGCCATGCAAACTGTGTGAAAGCTGCAAGGACTTGCAAAGAGTCACCTCGATGGGAACTGGTCGTGGCTGTTGTACAGTGCAGCCGAAGATGTGTCCAGAACCTACAGCCTCCAAAACCCCACACCTCAGTGGCGAGTCTGCATGCTATCTGGCTATCTGGAGACCAGCAATGCTATAGCTGCTGCTATGATAGTGAGGAAGGGCCCAATTGCGATGAATCAAGCAGAATCATCCAGCATGACACATTGATCTTCAGAAATCACCACAAATCAACAAATCAACTCGCACAAATTCGATCCCTGGGCACTGACAGTCTTGTATCTGACGTGGCACTGCCCTGCCAGGTTCTCTCCAAAGGCATAGAGATTCCCTGCATCATCCAGCAGTAGGGAATGCCTTTCGCCACAGGCGATGTCCTTGACCCCCTCAGTGGCACAAGGTGAAATTCGGAGTCAGAATGCACAGAGTCATGTCGCATCCACCGCCCCGGGCAGCCCCTGGCAGCCCCTGGCCCTATGGCCCTATGGCCCTATGGCCCTATGGCCCTATGGCCCTATGGCCCTATGGCCCTATGGCCCTATGGCCCTATGGCCTTGGGTCCCTCTTCACCAGCCTCTTTGTCCTGCAGAGGCTTGGACAGGTGTTTTCCTTTGTTTTCCTCCCGTGCTTAAAGGGGTTCATCTTCAAACCATCGGCAAACAAACTAGTCCGACCTGATGATGATGCATGTGTTGTTCCAAATCACTAACAACAACTATCAAAAAAACTTCTGTATGTTCCATGCTCTTTCCAGCCTCCTTTATTGGCAGTGATTCTGCCATCTGATTTCCCACGTGTCAACAATGAGACTATGAACATGCTCACAGCATGCGTCCAACAGCCACGCCTGAGTATGACGAGGAAGCGTCACTTTTCCCGGGACTGGTGCAAATTCAGTTCGAGCACAAATGACATGTAAATGACAAGACACAACAACAACAACAACAACAACAACAACAACAACAACAACAACAACAACAACACCAACACCAACACCAACACCAACACCACCACCACCACCACCACCAACAACAACAACAACAACACCAACAACAACACCAACAACAACACCAACAACAACACCAACAACAACACCAACAACAACACCAACAACAACACCAACAACAACACCAACAACACCAACAACAACAACACCAACAACACCAACAACATCAACACCACCAACAACAACAACACCAACACCACCACCACCACCACCACCACCAACAACAACAACAACAACCAACCAACCAACAACCAACAACCAACAACCAACAACCAACAACAACAACAACAACAACAACAACAACATCAACATTATACCAACCACCAAAAAATAAAAAACTACAGTAAACTCAGTAAACATGGTTGCTTCCATAATTTCCACCCGTATATGTATATATATATATTACACATATATGTATAGATATAGATGTTATAGTTATAATATAATATAATATTATATTATATATTATACATACGGGCATTAATGGCGGGGACATAGACGCAAATCCTGAAAAGTGACAGAGTGAGAGGTGGAGGCAAATTTAGCACAATCAAGATGTCAATTGCTGTCAAATGCTGTCAGCATCCACTTCAAACGCAACCCATGGTGACCATGATGGTGATAAGATTCGGTAGCCTGGAAGAGCCTGTGGATCTGTAAAGCTCCGGTTGGTAAGTGGCCAACCACCGAAGTCCATAACAGCCTCGCGGACAGCGATGGACAGCCCAGAATCTGGAGATATCTGGATCAGAATTGGAGTCAACGAGTAAACTTTGCCGTTGCAAAGCGGGGGAGCCAAGCTCCGCACTCCGCCAAGTTCACCGTACGTGCCATCACCCCATGCCTTGGTGATGCCGCTACAGCAGCCTGTCTTCGCAAACAAACGCAATTTCTATGATATGCATTTCCCAATGTGCAATCTAATTATTTGAGCATCAGCCCATCCATCCCCGCATGCAATATCATTATATAGTTATTAAGTTATATAATCAATTTTAGTATATTTATGTATATTTTAACTTATATACAATTGTCGTTTGCTATCTTCTGCTGCCGTAGTTGTTTTGACACTGCGACAGAGGCAAATTGCAAACTGCTTTAGAACAGTGAACCCAAGTTTGATATCAAAGTGGATCATGGGAATCACGCCCGCCGACCAGCCGTCCATGGCAATCATCCAGTTGTATCCTTATTGTTCGAACCTGTTCACAGCATGTCAATGTTTGGATTTGATAATTTGAATTGTCCAGCCAAATCATCTTGCAGCCATGCGTCGTATACGTTCCCTGTAATGTCTAGCACAAGTCCGAAGGAGCCGCCAAGGCCCAGTTTTCTTGTCATGCGGGGTAATCGGAAACACGGGGTCGGTCGCTCCAAAAGATCCTTGGTAACGTCTTCCCGGATCATATATAGCGCTACTTGTCAAACAATGCAAGCCGTACCAAATATTCAATAATATTCATGCAGCACGAGATGTAGTCGTGCTCCAAGAACCTCATGCACATTCATACATCAATTCTTTTTGAGCGACTGGACAAGGGCAACAGTCAACTTCTCCCCACAGGTAGAGCAAATGACGGCAGGTCCTTAATCAAGCATAGCACAGTGCTGCAAGATGCTGCACACATGCGCAATCTTTTAAGTTTGTCATGGCGCCCCTTGAGTTTTGTGCATGTTTTACCCAAGGTCAACTTGAATGATGTTGATCAAACATGATCAAACATGATCAAACGACAAACCAATGCAGCTTCCTGCCCGGAAGTCAACTCTCTGCAGCTTTGCCTTCGAAGTCAGTCCAAAAAATGCTCTAGTTGCAAAGTTCTGAGTATTTTCAGCTTTTTCTTTTGAATCATCTTGGATTCACTTCTGGCTACCAAGCAAGAGAGGCACAAGACACATCAAAAATCATCAAAACGCATTGAATTGCCGTGTCCTTTTAAGTAAGAAACTGTGCAAACATGCAAGCTAGAGCCAGGCATATGCGGCATATGCAACCAATTGCTGTTACGCTTCTCTGACTCTCCTTCACTTACTGTGCAGCAGCTTGCGCCCCCACGTGCAGCGATGGCTGTCACATCGTGGCGGAGCCTGAGCTCATGTCGAACGGGAGGAGAATCTAGCCAATCTTCAAGCTTCGAATGATGCTGATGCTCTCATTTCACTGAATGTTTACCTTTTTTATCCTTTTTTCACAGTTTTGATCGATGTTTTTGGCTACACGACATACCCCAAGCGGAGGTATTTCAGGCAATTAGCAGGGCAAGGAAGCGAAACAGGAGCATTGAAGAATGATAGGAAACGGAAAAGGTTCTGATTGCTTGGAAAAAGTGGCACAAAGCAACAGCAGGGCACATTGAGTAGCTACACAAATTTGACACGGATTTATGCCATCAGCTTCAAGAGCAAGATCTTCTACTAGAAGATTGATTTCACAGCAATGGTGAAGAGTAGGGTGAATACTCTGCAAATGATTTTGAAAGTCTCCCGTGATCTCTCGTGCACGTCGAGTTCAACATCCAATTTTTTCCCCAGGCAAGTGCACGATCACGAATGCTCTGTGAGAACAGTCATGAACAGTCGCTATGTACCCTGCCTACACTAGAACGACCAAAGCTCACAGCACCAAAAAGAGCTTCAGTCAAAGAAGTCAGAGAGCTTCACTTCTGACTTCACTTCGCTGCCCTCAGCACCCCGTAACCATTTCAATGGAGGAGGGATGTAGCGTGTTCCATCAGGGTTCAGGTGAGCGTAGAAGCAGCTGGTGCCAAAAGGACATGTGCCACGGCCATAGTCGAAGAGTTTGCATGGAATGCGGCCCATCTCCTGCTTGTACTGATCGATGATTCGTTTCTTCTCAGGAGGATCCAGGACAATGGTGTCACAGGGAATGACGTAGAAAGACTCATTGCGACACACAGGGCAAAGCCTCAAGTTCTGCTTGTCTTGTTCACGTTCTCGCCGCCAACCGCGAATGCAGCTGAGGCAGAATGCATGGTCACAGTTTTCTAACATCCCAAAGCGTTCCCCTCTTCTCCTGACATTCTCGAAACAAATGCCGCACTCACTAAACTCTGGATCCAAAGGCTCATGTCTTTCATGTCTTTGATGTCTCTCTTGATCCAAAGGGCCCGGGCCGAGATCGGATAGCAAACCCAAAGGTCCCACAGAGCCCATCTGGCCGATGCTCGGGCCCACAGGGCCTACCGGGCCTCGGTTAGGTCTCCCAGGTGCTTGGTCCAAAGGACCCAAACTTGGACCCAGGCCAAGATCAGAGAAATATGGTGGCTCTCCTTGGTCTGGTCCGAATCCTATTCCAGGTCCAGGCCCTATTGGGCCAGGCCCTATGGCAGGACCCATGGGACCTCGAGGCCTCCCACTTGCCGGCCCGATTGGTCCAGGTCCAGGCCCAAAGCCACTGGGTCGCCCAGGTGGCCCAGACCCAGGTGCCCCAGGGTCAGGTGGCCCGGGTGGCCCATATCCATTTGGTCCAGCTGGTCCGGGTGGCCCAAGTGGCCCAGGTGGCCCAGGCGGCCCAGGCCGTTGAGGTTGCCGTTGAGGTTGTGGGACTGCGTGCGAGTTTCGGCAGCTATCACCAAAGGCACATCGTCCTTGAAGAAAATGCTTGCAAATGTTCTCTGCCGGCCTAGGAGCACTGTGCCCATTTGCTTTCATTTTACTACCCTCTGCCTTGTATCCGCCATTCTGACCATTCTGACCATTCTGACTCTGACCATTCTCACCATCGCCATGCCAGGCATTGCAAGCATTGCCAAAGGCACACCTGCCCTGCGCAAAGAATTTGCAGAGCTGGGGCATTCTTCGGTAGATGGCCTTCGATGGCTGCAAAGGCTGCCCGCTGTACACAGTAGCTGCTGCCACAACCCTAGTTCAAAGCCTCTGCCTATGTGTAGTGTATCTAGCCCGCTGACCTGGACCTCGTGATGCTTTAAGAATGAACAGTTTGTGGTGAATCACTGAAGTACGTGTGGATGTCAATGGTTTGTATGCAATCTGCTGCCAAAGACCCTGGATGCTGCAAAACTCCAACTGGATGTGTCAAAGATTCAGCGTGTCCACCATGGGAGTCTTTGATCTGAAACGCCATCAAACTCACAAACTTGACAAGGCTTCAAGAGAAAACAATTATATAATTAGATACAATGGTCTATCAATGTCTTTCAAACATGTTCAAACACTCCAAACGCTTTTGGTTGCCAAGCCTGAGCTTCATGCAAAGCGAAGGCTTTAAACATATTTAAAAATACATAAACATACTATATGAGGTGACCAGTCTCTCCGGATCTTAAAGGTTCAGAAAGAGAGAAATCACTGCGATGAAATCTCCTGGAAACCACAGTTTCCAGTCACATCGTTTGAGGATGTTTTGAGGAAGCCATTGGATCTAACAGCAAGAGAGACGCCAGTGATCCAGTGTTGAACCCAAAGGAGCTGGCTTGATTCCAGAGTCTTGATATGTCTTGATGCTATAACTGACCCTGCTCTTTTGTTGGTTCTGATGCGTATTGTTGAATATCTATGAATATCTTGTGTTCGCGCATTCAAGCACTCACTGTACAAACAACTTTTCAACGAATGGGCATGGTCCATCGACAGCATTTGCCGTCAGGGTCATCTGAGGCTGGTGCCTCGGCCATGACCGAAATCATATTTTTGTGAAACTTGCTTTGTGACCATCCCTCGAATGCCTTTTGCCTGAACCATTGCTTCCTCAGCGCGGAGATATGTGACTTCCCAAGGCGGACTGCATAGATTTTTTGAAATCCTTGAATCTTCAATATCTTCACTACTTGAGCTCTCCTCAAAGCGAATTCCAGCAGACCGAGGTGAGTCGTCACCTCCTTCGCAGTCAACTTCGGCTTCGTCAGCTTCGGCTTCGCTGTCAGGTCTCAAGCGGCTGATTGGTTCAACGATGGCCTCATCACCCTTTGGGATGGCGCAACACCCACAGCTTCTTGGTGGGGCCAGTGACTCTAGGGGTCCCATATCTGCAGTGGGGAATGCCCAGCTTGGCACTTGAACATTCTCAAATGCGTAGTCTGGCAAGGAAAAAAATCTGGTCATTGGCATGACAAAACTCCCAACATCCTTCAACAGCGAAGAGTTGTGAGTCATGTTTGCTGGTGTCACCAACATCCGCTTGCGCAAAATAGAGGCATAGATTCTGCGACCATGCTCCGGTGGAACCAGGGCATCTTGCAAACCGTGAATGATCAATGTGGCACTCAATATCTTGGGAGCCAGCAAGAGGTTTTGGAACCTATCTTCCAGAAGATGTGCTAGCCGGCCAACGCGTCTCTCAAAGAGCTCCTTGATGCTTGCGAAAGGACTCACCAAAATGACGCCAGCTACCTCGTACCTCGCAGCCAAAGATATTGCTGGGCCAGTGCCCAAGGACCTCCCGAGAATCAGGATGTCGTTGTGGGCTACATTCAGAGTTTCTGTGGCAAACTCCATGGCTGCCTCTGCATTTGCTATGATACCAGCCTCCGTCGGTGTTCCAGGACAAATACCGTAGCCAGGATATTCCACCGCAAGGACGTTGACTTGGAACATGTCTCGCAGAACTGTGCAAAAGTTGTACACCAAACCAAGGTCCTCGGCATTGGCATGGAAGAACATCATCAAGAAGCGAGCATGCTGAAATGGTAGAAAAAGACAGGGCACGTCGTCACCTCTGTCACTCGGAATCAAAATCAACTCGCCAGGGAAGCTCTGGATGGTGTATGACGATCTTGGCGCTGGGAATACCAACCTCTCAACCAAATTCCAGCTGGAAGACTTGGAGCTGAAGATCGCGTGGATCATCTTTGATCATTGAGGCAAGACCACGGTGCCATTGCTGCCATTGCCCAAAAAGCAGGCCAAGGAAAGTTCCCCAAAGACCGCAAAACAAATCAATGCTACTTGGTCCATCGGTAGTTGCAAATTCAAATTTCAAATGCTGTGTGGCTGTTGCTCACTCCAAGCATTTCTGCCATAGATTTATGATATTCATTGCTACTATTCATTGATATTTTATCATGTTTTTCCCCATTGAACTTCCTTCTTGCTGTTCTTTCATGTTGTGTGTTCTCTACCTGATGACCTCGACGTGTGGAAGCAAGAGCAAAGATGAGCAAAGAACTCACAAGTCAGGAATGGAACACAAAGGACGTATCTTGCCCTCAAAATTTACAGTAACAGGCGTTTCCCAGTATCGGAAGTGCAGAGAAAAAAAACTGAAGATTGGTTTGATCCCTGATCTCGCAGCGGCACTGGTGGAACTCATTCATTATAAACGCATATAAACGCTTTCTTTGCTCATGTGAAGCACGACTTCGCAGCTGTGGCTCAGTCCACGCAACTGCAGAGTTCAACGACCAATTACAAATTACACAGAGCTGTCGGTGACTCAAAAGCACAATTGCCAGAATCACTATGCTCTGTACTGCAACATCCTGCAACTATATATGCAAAACATTGTAAAGCAAAAAGTCAGCAATCAGCTGTGGAAAATTCGCTTGGAACTTCTGAACTTTGCGGAGGTCAATGGTTGGCTGTAGAGGCTGCGGAAACAGCTGGCAAAGTGGTCTTCCTGGCAGAAAGCGAATTATGCAAACTATGGAACCATCCCCAATAAACATTTGGGTATAAAGCAACTTGAGGCCGGGGGTGGATGACGAAAGCTAGCGGGGTAGGAGAAAGAAGGAAGGGAAGAGGTGAGTTGCGGAGGGACTGTCATCATCATGTCGCGGCATTGTTCGTCCCAACGAGGATGCAACAATGATATATGATATATGATATATAACAATGATATATATGGGGGAGGGGGCAGGGGGGGGCCCTTTCGCGTGAAAAAGCACGTGATGTCCTTGGGGAGCCCCGGAGTACTTGCTAAAGCAAGAAGACTCTAGCGAGCTGACGCTAGCTTTCGTGATAATGCCAATAATTGCCAATAATGATAAAATGTAATTGATTAACGATGATGGTGATGATGATGATGATGATGATGACGATGACGGACGAGGACGATGACGATGACGAGGACAAGGACGAGGACGAGGACGATGATGATGATGATGATGATGATGATGATGACGATGACGAGGACGATGGCGAGGACGATGACATGATGATGATGATGATGATGATGATGATGATGATGACGATGATGATGACGATGATGATGGTGGTGAGGACGATGATGATGATGATGATGATGACGATGATGATGATGATGACGATGACGATGACGATGACGATGACGATGATGATGATGATGATGATGGTGGTGATGGTGGTGGTGGTGGTGGTGGGGGGGTCCCCCCCTTTCGCGTGAAAAATCACGTGATGTCCTTGAGCAGCCCCCGGAATACTTGCTAAAGCAAGAAGACTCCAGCTAGCTGACGCTAGCTTTCGTGATAAATAAAGTTCATGAAAGTTCGGCGTAGGATTCTTAATTTTGAGCATGTATAAGAGTGGCATGACCAATATTCATACGATATATGCATTCTAGAATCTTCAGAGTTGCGCCAACAATAACGATCAGTCAGAAGTTAAACAAAATTAAACAGTTGTTTGCCTGGTATCTTGGCTTGAGACTTGAACTGTCTTCCTACTGCTGGCTCGGTGTTTCATGACAACTACGCTGCTGCATGTTTGCATGACCCGGTCACCGAATCTCCTCCTTTTGGCAGGCCACTCATCGGCCGGAAGAACCCTTCTTCCGCCAAGCAAAGGACGTCCACCAACTATTGGAACATCGAAAGAAAGGATGCCATCGGCTGCGTCAAATCTTGGAGGCAATGCGTTTGGCAGTTGGTTCATGCGGGGGTGTTGGCCACGAATCAGCAACTCTGATAGTGCATTACGTGGTGCGAGCACTCTTGTCTTTATTCCAGAGTCGTCTTGGCCCTGCGCTACACACCTTGAATGTGAACGATTTCCTTGAGCAAGTTCATCAGCTTCAGGATCTACTGGGCACCATTTCTCGGAACCTTGCGATTGCTGCGCAAATGGAGAGATACCTGCAGGTGTCATGAGGACCTGCTTCTTGGCCCCGTTTCCCAAGGCCCTGCGCACAGGTGTGTCTGAGTTGGAGCAGCAAAACGCGAATGGTGCTTTGCGAGACCTTTTTGCAGACCTTTCTTGAGCTTGCTCATCTTCCTCTTGATCTTGAGCTGAGCTAAAAGAGCCATGGTTAGAAACACACACATGAGTCACATGAGCAGACCCCGTGCCGTCAGCATCTTCAGGCCATTTGGTTTGGCAGGCGTAGAACTGGTGAGCGTCCAAATCGTACGCCAAGCACACTCTTCTGTAGAGGAGGGCTTCTTGGCCTTTCAAGCAGCTTGTGGTCAAAGCAAGGCTTCAAACTGCGCAGGAGAGTAAGGGATGAACCATATTAACCTTAACGGAATGTTCCATGGGCTGGCTATTGGGCTGGCTATTGGGCTGGCGGTGCTGGTACTATCAAAGTCCCTGGGGGCACAATGTCAAGTAAGGGGTATGGGTAGGGAACTCACAGGCACACCTGCAACTCTGTTAGTGGAGACAAGTGACCCTTCCAATTCTCAAGCAAATCTGGAACCCGCTGCAGCTTGTAAGGATTTCGCTTCCTGTATATCGCTTCAAGTTGCACACGCCAGAAGTCGACAGGTGTTGATCCCGAGGTCGAAGCTTCATGACTTTGGAAGGAGCAAGACGAGCGGGAGCTGCTTGATCTGCTTGGGCTGGCCTGGTGAGTGCCTAAATTTTCACAAACTTCGGCATTGGCATCTTGATCCTGATGATCATCTTGGGCAGGAGCGATCTTTCCGTGGGAATCGTCGGATCTTTCCGTCCAGCGCAGCAAATGTGTGAAATTTGTCAAGACTTGACCAAATCGCAGCATGGCACATGTTCACTGAGGCAGCTGAAATCTTCTATGTCTTTGGCGCGGGGACAGTGGCATTTGGAGCCAAAAAGACAAAACTTGAACATATTACGCATGTCCTATTCAAGCACCTCTCACTTCCAAGATCTTCCAAGTTTAAGTCAGAAAGAACAAAGAAATTGCGTCATTCCATGTCATTCCATGTCATCCCTACAGAATCTTGCAACCAGGCGGCGGTATCTGCGTTGGGTAAAACTGATCTGCGCAAGAATGTGGCAAGCCCAGCGCTTCCCATGCTCCGCAAACAAAGATCTGCATCGTCAGGGCACAGACCGTGGCAAGTCAACGCACGCTCTCATGCCAAGTCATCCAAGTCTGATTCTATATAATACTTGACATATCTTGACATTGCCATCACGATGAATCATCAACCTCTCTCTGCTCGTCTTTTGTTTGCGAACATACATCCAGACATAGATCAACATGCCCACTCCGCCCTTGCTTTTCCCCGCATGAGTCCTCACGACTTACAATGCAGCTGCCTTCTGCAAAACTGCAATGTCACCAAAAGCAAAGGTATGGAAAAGTGTAGCATAGTGTAGGGGCACGGATAATGAAGCAGCACCATATTGTCATCCAACATCATTTTACGCCAGTCTTCGCCTACAAAGACCAGGCCATGGTTGTACGGGGCTGCCTTTATATATAATTTGTATATATATATATATATGTGTGTGTGCGTTTGATCATATCATGCTAGAAATTATGCTACATGATGCTATGTATATCTACTGCACGGTTTGCATCACCGTGCATCACCATCCGCCGCGGCACAGCCTAGTCCTAAGCCATCATTTATTCTTGGCTAGCTGAGCTGTGCTCTTGTGGCTTAACGGATGCAGACAATCAACAATGGCCACTCTCAGTCCAAGGGATTCTAAAGGGCCTTGCAACTTCCAAACCAAGGAATCTTACACTTTCTATCCAGCTGCTGCACGTGCACGCCAATGCGGCATTGAACGTGCAACTTCAGGAAACTCCTTGGGCATCAACTCTAAGCACCGCATCAAAGCTTTTTGTTCCTCCTCAAAAGGTGCAGCACGGCGTCCCAAGCTGAAAAATTATGAAAATTGTACAATGGCCATGCGCCCTTGATCGTATCCTGATATGTGCTACTAGTATGTTTTTAATTGTGATGATCCTGACAAATCCCAACCCAATGCAATGCAGCGTATATGACGGTCGGTTGTTAAGTTCTGTTAAGTTATATAAGTCACATGCGACATCTCCGACATTATTACATCATGCTCCAGACTTTTTGGTCCATGTCAGCACCGTGTCACGGTCCTTCTTGCCCACCATCCCGAGGCAATGTAGGACACGCGAGATCCTCAACCAGTTGTGGTTCATGCCCATGAATGAGGACCAGCAATCAACTCGTCCTTAGCTGCCCCAATATGCCCCAATTGCCAATGCTATCCCGGCAACCGCTTGTGCGCAGACATGAAAACCCCACGCATGAAACACAATTGTGAAATATGGTCCAATAATGATGTCCAATATACATTGCAAGTGACATCATTAAAGCGTCATATAAAGATATATATATATATATAAAATCAAAGATTCGGTTTCAAAATATACATATTCTAAAATCCTGGAGGTGTAAGGACCAAGCACGGGTGCAAGGTCGCAAAGAGCGAACACGGAGATGCCAGCAGCAGAACAAAGCATGGAAAAACATGGGAAAACCGACATACCATGTCTGGATCGCAACAAATCAGGCAGCCAACGGCACCAGCCCTCCCACAAAGGTGTCACAAACTGTCAGAAACACTGGGACATCTTGGGGCGTGACAGCACATACCCCGGCATAGCCTGCTTCAGCCTTGCCTTGGTCGCCGAATTGAAGCCAGGACTCGTGTATCGAAATGCTTGGCTTTTGTGATCTTCTTCTCCTCCATTTGAAGGCCCAAAAAGGACAGAAAACGCTCCAAGATCCGGTCCTTGGAAAAACTCAACCACTGAAACTGAAAGAACTAAGCGCATACTGCACTTGGAAAGGAAACACAACACCTCACAGAAAAATGGATAAGCCATGATAAGCCCTTTTGCCCTATGCTGTGAAGCATCAAAGTTCTTTTGAATTTGGGCATCATGACGGCAAATTGCGGCCAACTCAGGCGAGAGTAGTGGAGCTTGGCTGTTGAACATCGAGGCTTCATCTGTCGGGAAGATCCATTGGACATAGTCGTGCACAGCCTTCGGATGAGACTTAAGCATCTCACTGAAATTCAGCAAATAGGTTCATCCACTGTTCAAGTGAACATGTATGTGACATCAAACCGGATCAAATGAAGATCTATGAAGCCAGAAGAAACATGAAGAAACTACCAAATCAATCCAAATCATGCCAAATCCATCCAAACTAAATCAAATTATGACACAAAAAGATCCTTTGGAACAAAAACAGGGGCCCTCTGGGGCTGATTTGGCCACGTCTGTCATCAGTGGTCAGCAAAGCCATCCACGGCCTCCATGGTTCGGTCATCCCACCGCAAAATGTCATCCAACATCCTGCCTGGCAAAGAAGTCCACCAATTCTTGACTATTTGCAGCACATTATCGTTCAACAGCAAGACTGAGAAGCCAATACTGATGTCTTTAGATGCATCAAAGATCATCAAAGACATCTATCTGCAATTTTCAACAAAGTCAATCATGCATCTCGTCAGTCAAGCTGTTTGAAGACGATGACACGCTTTGAGCAAATCCAATTAATGCGCAGGTCGGATACGACAAAATCGACAAAATCGACAGGCAAATGATGCATATTGTGATTATTGTGTTGGTGCACGACCTCACCTTCACAATCGTCTGGCTTCTCTCCTCTTAGGAAGTTGTACAAAACCTGCTCAAGAACAAAATGAAAACACGGGCAAAGCTGCGCTATTACTTTGGCGTTCTGCAGGTGTGCAAGGCCTGTTCGCAAGGCCTGTTGTTTCCACTGTTGAATATGTGCCAAACTGTTTCAATATGTTTCAATATCGTTCATAATTTGTTTCCTCCGCCCTTCACTCTTTATCTCTTTACATCTCTTTACCATGTTCTGCTGCTTAAGGATCGGGCCAAATCTCGGCCCTTCAAAGAAGACGGTGAAGGAGGCGTTTCTTCAGACACATTTGCTGCTGCTTTCGCCGGCTGGCTCGCCATGAATCTACTCGGACAGTTGCCCATTGAGTATAGAACAAATGGAGTAGTCGTTCAATATGTTCAATAATATGGAACACGTTTGAGGCAAAAACAAAGAGGTTGAACCTGCGACAGAAATTTAAAAGGTCGTCTTTCTAACTTGTTGTCGTTCATAAAGCACACATGCTAGCACCATAGAGCCGAAAAGGCCATGAAGCCGAGCTAAGAAGACTCATCAAGAGACTCATCAAGAGCGAATCTAGGTAACCCATGGTAACCCCGGGAACATAACAAACTTTCTGGCAATATTGGGTATGTCTGAAAATGGGGTATACCCCCAATTATAGCCATTTAGTAGGGATAATGATCATTAACCATTGGGTGTAGGGGTACACTAATTTCAGACAGTGACAAACCCATTGGACTTTTGACAAGTCGGGCCTGTCTTGGACTCTCGCCCGATGGAGATCGAGCCAAAAGCAGGGTGTGTTCACCTCGGAGCAAGCTGACGGGTGTGTCATCCAGCACATGGGCCATAAGCAGATAGAAAATTCATGAAAATTCATGAAAGGTTAACGGATGTTAACGGTTACAAAGCCGGGCTCTCGCAAAAACTGGTGCCAAGGCCAGCACAAAGCAGGCAAACCCCCCCACGGGCCCCACTATTTTCATTCAAAACCATTAGCATCACCTAAGAAAATCCTTTGGAGTTTTGTTCTGCGCAAACGGCTATACGGAATCCGCTTCTCAAATAGAGGCGAGATTTCGACATGGCACAAATGAGATCTACAAGATCTACAGGTCGGATTCAAATTATGACCCTAACTCGCAGAATCATTTCTCCCAACTGAAATGGTCATTCACAAAAGCGAAACCGTGGAAACGCGCATAAATGCTTGTCAGTGGTATTGATCATCAATAATTCACCAATTTTCATCTCCCCGTATATTATTGTGATATGTGACATATTATTGTGATAATATATATATATATACATACCATTATATCATTATATATCAAATAATTTATAATATTATTTGTATGTATTTGTCATGCATGATTTGTCGCCCCACAAATTATACCCAGGCACTGCCACAGGCTGCGCCCAGCACCTTCATTTCCCTTGTACCTGTCGAGAACGACACGGCAAAATGACAAGTACAATCAGTGAAATCATTGTTCTTCGACTCATTATTTGTCATTCTTACTTTTTTCGTCTTGTGACTGGAACGGTCTAGCACTTCACGTGCCAAAAAATATCAAAAAATCAGATCGCCCTCCAAGCCCTTGTGGCCTTCATAGTTTGATGACTTTAGATGCAGTTCAGCCAGGGAGCTTGATTCCAGCTCCTTCTATATCAATCAAAGCTGGAAGTGTGCAACAAAGAAAACAAGAACCAACCACACACACACAAGCGTTGAACAGGCTGGATGCCTTGGGGATGTTGGAAAGGTTCTTCACTTTGTGCGGCAAAGGAACACGTGCTACAATACTTACCCTTTCAAATTGTATGAATCTGTGCTTCGAGCCTTTTTCCCAGATTTCTTCAGTCAAGGACAAGGAGGAATGCAAAGAATTAAGAAGTGTTGAGAGAGGCCACAGTCGCTGATTCTTCCATCGCTGAAGTTTCCAACACGCAGTCCTCGCCACCGATGCCGAGCTGACCCCTGCAATGGCAATGTGTTTGCAATTCAGAGTTGGTCATGTGTTTCAAAGCAAACAATCTCTGTGATTATGTGCATCAATCAAATCTGGCCTGGCATTGCAGCCATAGCCGAAAGCACGTCCACAAGATGAAACTAGAACGCAGTGCCCAGCGCCAACTGCAACTTCCGACACTTCCCTGGAGGCTCAAGGACGTACAATAAATCACATCGGCTTCAAGCCCTTCACTTCCAGGAAACTTGCTGCAGCTTCAAATCTTCAAGGCCAGCAGGCCAATTTACATTATCATTGCGCACTCGCTGTACAAAACGCTGTGTCCTCAAGCGAAAGCCAAGAAGCAAACACATGAGGATACACCTAGAAAGTCACAGAAGGACAATGACAAAATGCTTGCACAATAGAGCCAGCTGACATTTGCCCCAGCAGTTCGTGAGATAGCTGCAAACCTGAGAGGCAACAGAAACGTGCCCACGCACAGAAAGAAGTGCTGGAAACCAACTCAGATTTCTCAAACTATAAACCCCATTTGCAACAGCATAGCTTGGTGTGTCCCACCTGCGACGCTGTGACCACACATCACACAACAGAGGGTTCTGGCTTGAAGTTTGCGATATCAATCAAAAAGAGATTAGCACAATCAATGGAAACCTATAGGAACAAAACTGTGACGCCGATTCAACCAAAAACTAAATTTGGGGTGAAGCAATGATAGTAGATACTAATAGCAGGAGTGACTTTCAAACGCAAAGTGTGATAAATTGTGCAATCGACATCCAGTTCCTACATTTATCCATATATTATATTATATTATATATTTTCATATATTTTCAACCTGTTTCAAATGTGCTTCAACAATCACTTCAACATGTTTCAACATTTTTGAACTTGTGCGAGTGCCCAGCTGTCCCAGCCTTCGGAGGGGAGCTGCTCCTGGTTATGCAGTTCTGTGGGGGAATCGCTGGCGGATCATCCCCAAAATAAAGGAGGGGGTCACCTGTTGCGATCAAATGTCTCGTCGTTTTGGTTGGTGGAAAATTGGGGATACCCTTGAATGTGCCGACTGGCTTTCTAAAGTGGTGTCTAAAATTTGGGAAACCAGATACCCTAGGGGTGTTGGTTAAGGTGTCTCCTTGACATTCTAAGGATTCTGACTAAGGATTTCTCCTTTGTTTATAGGTTTGCGATGGCGCTCCGGCGCCATCGTCCCAAAGTACTTCTTCTTAAAGGAGGGGGTCACTGTGGTTTTCAGATCAAGGCGGCCTATAAAACACACATGCTGCTGATGACGCCGTCTGGTTGCTGAAGCTCAGAGATCTTCATTCCATTTAAGGTGAGAATGCTGGAATGGTGGTGCTACTGGGATGATGTCTCAAAGGACCACAAAGAGAGAAGCCATGTAAACAGTTGCACAAGATTTGACAAGTTGGTATAAATATATTTTTACAAATAAATAAATATATATATATATATTATGAATAAATAATGAACGAATCATGGTCCTTGGAAGTGCGAGTATGGAGTAAGGTCACATGCTAACAGTTTAGCCCCACACTAACTCTTAAGATTCTTAAGGCAAAAATCAAATGCTACAATGTTTGTAATTAACATTACATGCGTATACGGCATACGCCTCAATGATAGTCTCTTTATGAATCTCACGACATATTGAGACAATATGTGGGCAAAATCCGTTCCTCCTGGACATCGTCCAAATCATCGAATCGATCCTCCGCTGCCTAGCAGGCTATAGCAGGCTTGATGCATCGGTGTGGCAGGCAATACGGGGGTTCGATACGACCCTCAAATTTCACAAGGTGAACTGCATGCGAAGTTTGCCCCTGGAAATCCACCTTGAACTGCCCCAAACATTAGACTGCGAAAAAAAAAAGTGATCGTAGTACATCGTTGTGTCATTTCTTTTCAGGGTACTGCGTCCCGCACCTCATTGTTTGGCCCCGGGCTACCAATCTCAGACACCTCACGGTCACGGCCTCAGACATTTGATCTTCAACAATGTCAAATTCAATTGGCTTCCGCTAGAGTGGTACAGTATATGATGCTTTGCTTGGAGGAACTCGCATACGAGATTGCCGACGTGCGCACGTCACAAGCCATGCAGAATGAAATGACAGATTTCCAAGTCATGCTGCCCATGCTGCTGCACCTTTCCGTGTGACCATTCGTGACTAATTACTCAATTTATCCGCTTCAGGGCATGGTCTTTGTGACAAGCCGAGTGACTCCAATCACTGAGCAAGCCCCACAGCTCAACAATGGTCTCTTGCTTAGCACGTGGAGCACCTGAAACAGGTCCAACATGGCACAGAAGCATTTCATGCACAAAAAACGGATAGACCTTGCCGCTATGACACAGCAAAATTAGCAACATCAATCATCAATCTCAATATTTGATATATATTTGATATGGAGTGCCCTGGAGGATGTGGAAATGTAGCACAAATCCACAACAATTAAGGAGGTGCCACTGCCGTTGCAGTGCCGTGGTTTTTTTCGAAATCTCGTTGAGGCCCCAGCCCCATTCCAGGAAGTCTGTCGACAGCAAAACCTTGGTCTCCTTCACCTGGTTGTGGCAGCCATTCTCTTTCACCTTGGCTGAAATCAAATCTGAAGGTACAGAAATGTACAGAATGGTACAGGTATGCCATCGGGTCAAACATGGTCCATGGTCAAACAATATCAGGCATTCAAAGGTCAGCCAGGGCGCTGGGAATATTACAGTCTTGAAGTAAACAAACAGTGAACATACCAATCATAACACGTATTCATAGCATTCGATTTTTTTACCTGGATTCATCCGGCAGAATTTTGGGCGTACAGTGGCATACGGCGGTCACAGTGGCATACGTAGGTGTAAGATGCAATTGTGTAACTCCTTTTCTTCGTCCATACCTACCTGCTCCAAAATTCAGAGGCAGTATCAGGTAGTTCGTGCAAGTCAAAGTAAAAATAAAAGACGCCTGGGCCTGGGGCTCCAAGAAAGAATCAAATGCGATAAATGCGGCTGGAAGGCCTTATTCCTGGCTCGCACCATCTTGCACCATAGCACCGCAACGGCTTGCCGCTAGCAGCAGCACATTGCGAATCGCTTGGCAAACAGTTGGGAGATTCTCCCACAAAAGCTCCGCCAAGTAAAATGCCTTCACATGCTAGTCTGTTGGCTGGATATTGTTTATATATTGTTGTTTAATGCAGGCAGCTGTGCCTCAAGTTGTGAAGTCTTGCCAGTTCAAGTTGCAACAACAATCACACCATTCTAGCTTTGTTACCACAAATCTTCGTCATGCCACTCATGCCATCCTATTTGGCCTTGAGGTCATTGTCTTTGCAAGCCGCGAGTGTACACAAACAAAACGAAAGCAACATTGGTTCGACATGCAGCATGCATTTGAATCATTTGAATTTCAGGCACGGGTGGTTTCGATGCAACGCTGTGCAATTCAGTGCCAACAGTAGATATAGCAAATCACAGTGAACCCATGGTCTACAGCTAGTGAACAGAGAGGATCACCAGAGTCATAAGCACACATCCGGCATGCAGGGCATGCAAAACAAATGAAACCTTGGGCCTTGGATTGGGAGGTGTTAATCGGTGGTAATGACGCGTACTGATGTGCAGATAAGCATATCCCTAGAAAAGAAAGTGCACAATATTGCGCAATTGATTGCAATTGGCAGCAGTGTCCCCACCTACAGAAGGAATACTATCAAAGCTGACGCTCATCTGCGGTTTGCCCATAGTCCCTCGGTGCACATTGTATTGCGTCACCAAGCCGAACTCTCTCTCTCTCTCTCTCCCTCGAACTAAGGCAACCAATTGCAGAGCCCTGCATCTCGTTCCATCGCAACACGCAGAGTCAAGGTACAGTGAATTAATATGAATTATATAATTGCGTTGGAAAAAACATGTCCTGAAAGTTGAGCTTTGTGGGGAAATATGCATGCCGTGAAAGGAGGACTTCAGCAGGCTAAAGCTCGCAAGTGCAACTCCTACTTACGTTGGTTAATTTGTAATTTCAACCCTTCTTCCCACTCACAGGGGAAAACACTTCACATCACTTCACATCCCTCAACAGGAGCATGATGAAATTCAGGTCGCGCAACTGACGGGAATGACAACGAAACGCACCCACAAGAAAATACAGAGCCTTGCTGGGAGGGGCAACACACTGCGCCCATGTCGCCTTGCAGACTCTAGTGTGGACCCTGGGCACCACATGTCATCATCTGATACTTCGATGATGTAGTAAATAATATGAATGATAGCAGAGTAAATCATAATTCATAATATATTAGCGTGTAATATATCTTAGATTATAGACTAGACTATTATATATATTATATAATATAAATATAAGGATATGGGATGATATGGGTGGATATGGGTAGATTACAACAGTGGCAACTAGTGGCAATCAACGCCACGAAATCACTCGGCCTGCAGATCACCGGCTTTGCCGGCTCCGGCGGCGGAATACAACTGCTGGAGCCAAATGCAGGTCGATATGCAGTTCTTCAATGTTGTTCATCCAAATGGAATAAACAACTGCAGATTGTACAAATATATACAAATATATTGTACAGATTATCATGGAACAGGATATGCAGTGTTGTACAGATTGTGATTACTTGTGATATCTTGTGATTACTTGTGTATAGCCTGCACACCACTGTGTACAGGCGTAGCCGCGCGTAGCACTTGTGTATGTCTAACGTGCTCTGGCTTTGTATGTTGAATAGTTTAGGAACTGCACTGCCAAAGTGCTGAACAAGCATGATCTTCCTCTGTGATATGCCAAAACGAAACGGAGCATAAAATAGACAAAATACTCATGCATCAATAATTAAGATGGCAAAAGAAGTCGGGGTGCACAGAAACAATTCAAACAATCACGTGCATCCATTTGGTTGACCGATCACTCACATGACCGATCCTTCCAACATCTTCAACCAATATAAATCCAATATACTCCGAAGTGGGGGGGCCAAGCTCAGCACTCTGCAAGGAAGCCATGGCTAAGCCATGCATTCACAAGCCTCTCAGCAGAAGATCTAAATGTCCAAAAATGTCTAACTCATCTACATAAGCTGAACAATCCGAACATACTCTAACTCTGATAAATCGTCTATAAATAAATATGTATTCAACATATTCAACAGAATATGTCACCCTTCGCTACGTTGCCCCGCTGCCACAAAACACACAAAAACAAAGAAAGTATGAACCTTTTGTTTACGGATAAACCAACCTTGCTCACTAAGAGTGTTTTCGTCTTTCATCGTGGACTGAGCTGCCGACTGCCAAAGCTCAAACCTTTGCAGTGACTGGTGGCACAAAACGAAAATGCAGCTCGTAGGGCCGTAGGGTCCTAGATGTCCTAGGGAGCTCTTGCGACATCTTGCGACGCAGCACATTGGTTGTGATTCTTGCGGACGAGCTGCTCATCATTCAGGCAGCGTGCATCAGCCTTCAGTGACATGACTGCCAACAACCAACTTGGAGAGAGTTGGGGCTGGCAAGCAGAAGCATGCAAAGGACATCAAAGAACTACATGGACACAACGGCAAAACGCGTCCTTTCCAGCGACTCCACGACAATCAAACCCGCCCTGGCATGCACTCGGTACCCAGCAGGAAGTTCATCACCTCGGTTCCAAATAGATCTAAATAGCTTCAAAAGGCTCCAACTACCACTTGTTAAATCGCTGGTATGTATTTAGCGCCAGTGAGTGCATTGGGAGCAGTTCAAACGTCAGTTCTTCAGGTACGTCCAACTCCAAGACTGTTGTGGACCAGTTTTGGAGCATGTTTGAACACCCAGAGGGCACCAGCATCAGAATCCTACATGCGGGATTGACAGAAACCACAAATCAAAGCTATTCAACATCAAGATTCAAGATCAAGATTCAACATCAAGATTCAACACAAATTCTTTCTTTGGTGCACTAAATCTGGATTGTTTCTTCTAATCTCCTGGCACCACCATCACTAGTCTCTGCAGCTTTTCTTGCTCTGCTGGATAAATCAACTTCTGGGTTGAAAGTGCTGCATAAAAGCTGGCCCTCCCTCAAGCAATGGTCAGGAAATAGCGCAAGAAGGCCCGCCCTTAGCTGCTTGCTCATTGTCATGGCCTGTGTGACTCTACACTGCCCTACAGATCCCTACAGATTATACAAGTTGTGGACTAGCAGAAGTGACACTTTCAGGGACAACACACTGATCTGTGACCCTTCAGGTGTGAAGCCCAGTCATGTTGGGGCAGCTGAGCCAACTTATCTGTGTGGTGTCAAGGAATGATCCAGTCGAGTGAAGCCAAGGGCCAAGAAACTATGGCAAATTATCGGTAACTAGATAGAATATAGATATTTGCATAATATCTCAGCATACTAAAACCGGGTTCAAGCTAAGACAAGCTAAGTGTCAGCAGAATCTGCATGCGTTTGCCAGGCGGGACCTGCAATTTTAATGTCAACAGCATGACGTTCAGCTTCACACATAAGTCAAGGGTTTCGCACCGAATGCTTAGATCACACATTCGATCACATTAGTACACCAGCAAATCACCCACCATCACCCACCGCTACTGCTTCAAACCCACTTCTCTAATTGGATAGAATGTCCTATGAGTTTTTCCGCCCATGCCCTTCAAGCCAAGAACTCCATGGACAAACTCTGCGCCCATTGTTTGGTTTGCATTCGTATGGCATGAGCCTGTTCTCGCACAGCAATGTCAGCAATGCAATAGCATACGATCGAGACACCTAGCTGCTCTTTGGTGCTTGAAACTTGGCTGTCGCCATAGCCTCGGCAGCGTATGGCAGCTTTTGCCGTTTATGACATGGAGGCTACTTACGCATAGACATGGGATCACATGGGTATGTGACGGAGTGTGGGGAAAGAGCCAGACACACCAACAATTTTGGATAAAATGGATTGAAATTGTTGGATAGTGTGATCTGTCGGTCAGATTGTTTGTCATTATTTTTTTCTGGAATGTCCTTCATCATGCATGTCATCTTGACAACCACTCCCTCAAGATCACGATCATCAGGGGCAAAAACAGCATGATCATCCTCATCATCTTCATTTCAGTTTTTCTTTTGCCTGTTACTTTGACATCCCTAAGTTCACATTATCCTCACCTCTCTCTCTCTCTCTCTCCCTCTGCCTCTTCAGGGCAATGCCAATTGATATGTTATCCATGCCGATTCCCTCCCTCGATGACCCATTCATCCGTCCCTGGTTCCATCTTTAGTAATAGATCATTCGAGATCATCACCCCATTGTTTTTCAGTCATTGTCGTCCCAGTCGATGTTATCGTCCTTCAAATGCTCACCCCATTGAGCAAGAACGTCTTGACAAAAAACAAGCAGCTGTGACCAAGTGGTGTCTGATCATTGGCATTGATTAGCCAGGTGCAAATCAATGCCGCCACGTCAGCTACACCTATATACACCTATGCCTATTCTGCTCCTTTTCTGAGCGGTTTGAGCGGTAAAAAAATCCTTGCATTTTAAGTGCACAGTCATCGCCAAGATGCTTTTCAGGCGTTCCATTGCCTTTGCCCATGCAGTGTCAGACTGGGCAAAGTCCGAATCCAAAGCCAAAGGCGGGTCCTGTGCATCATGTTCCATTGGGCCACTGCTCAGCTTCAATGTCATGTTTTCAATTTTTGGTTTTCGGTGAGTTATTTAAACGGAAGGGCAACCTTTTGGGTGGTTCTCTTTCGAAGGCACGTAATTAGATGAAACCATTGAGCGCTTAGGCTCAGCAACATGTGAGGTATGGCCGGTATGGCAATCTCTCCTGCATAGCATCAACAATGCGTTTCAGCGCTGGCCAACTTATCGCCCCTGGCCATTCCCGTCGGTAGAGGACCCGGATGCATTCCACGCCTTAGTCCGCAAGATTTCGAAGTCTAACTGGTGCAGGAGTAAATGATCCAAAGGCCCACAGTTGTCTGTGTTCAATACTGTTACAGGTCAATTTTCTATGCATGTTTTCTCTATCTATTTATCTTTCTATCTATCTAC